GTTTTAGAATTGAGTGACTTCAATATTCCCACTCAAACCCCTGAAACGATATGAACGACATCTTCTGATTCGATTTTTTTCGAAGATAAACGGTGAGAGCATTTCGTTGTCTATATTTTCATTTGTCTATGTACTCTCACCGTTCATCTTCGAAAAAAATCGGATCAGCAGATGTCGTCTATATCGTTTCAGGGGTTTGAGTGGGAATTTTGAAGTCACTCAATTCTAAAACGTTAAAAATAACAAAAACTGTAGGATATTTGTCAGTTGAAAATTGTTCCATAATAAAAGACAAGTGAAAACTATGTAGTGACATCGAAAAATATGAGAATATTCCAGTGAAATTCTTGAAAAACTATAAAATGTGTTTTCGAAGTCGAGTGGCTTAAACGCGTAAATCAGCATGTTGACTATGCAAAACATGATAAGAGCCACCTGGATAAAAAGACAAAACTAACTTTTCGTTGTCTATATCTTCATTTGTCTATGTACCATGTCACAATTTTTGGCTACATATTATGAGGCATTAAGAGTGTACAAATTTTTACTGGAAGCTGTTCGTTTGCCCAAAAATCCAGTAGGAAAAGAGAAAAAACGAGACATATTGACATTTCAAATTCTTTTGGGAAAATTTTCCCAGTAAGAATTATTCAATAATCACTTGTCACAACAAATTTAGCCAATCTATTTTTTGAAGGCAAAAGCTTTTAAATTTATTAACAAAAATGCAAATCTATATCTATAAAAGAGGAAAATGTTTGTTTGTTTGTTTGTAATTTATGGATTCGAAAACCGCTGAATAGATTTTCCTGAAAATTTCCATATATATTGCAACATCGCCTGAAAGTAATATAGGCTATATACATTTTTGAATTTCCACTTGTAACTGGAGATATAGCATCAGAATCGGAGGTACCTCCCAAAAATTTAGATTTTATATGCACATATCTATTGATTGGTTTAAGATACAGTCTCCAAATTTGGAATACGTAACGGAATTTGGAACAAAAATAAGTTTGCCAAATTATGTTGTAATCGGTTCAGATTTAGATATAGCTCCCATATATATATTTTCGACCGATTTCGTTCATTTGGTGCCTCAAACACAATATGAATGTTCGATTCCAATGAAATTTGGAATGTGTGACGGGATTTAATCCGAAAATAAATTTGTCAAATTAAATTGAAATCGGTTCAGATTTGGATATAGCTCCCATATATATTTTCGACCAATTTCATGTATTTTATGCACCATACACGATATGTATGTTCGATTCCAAAGAAATTTGGAATGTGTAACGGGATTTTGATTAGAAAATAAATTAGTCAAATTATATTAAAATCGGTTCAGATTTGGATATAGCTCCCATATATATTTTCCGCCGATTTCACATATTTGATGCACAAAACACGATACGTATTTCCGATTCCAACGAAATTCGGCATGAGTGGCTAAATTTGGTACAAAAATAAATTTGACAAATTATATTCAAATACGCTCAGATGTGACTATAGCTCCCATATATATACTCAGCCGATTTCACATATTTGATGCACCCAAACCGAGAGAGACAAAATCTGGCACCAGAAAAAATTGCCAAATTATATTGAAATCAGTTGAGGTTTGGATATAGCTAACATATATATTTCGGCCGATTTCATACATATTATGCACCAAACACGATATATATGACCGATTCCAATGAAATTCAGAATTTGTGGCGGAATTTGTTTATAATAATAAATGTGATAAATTAATTGCAAATAAGTGAAGATTTGGATATAGCTCCCATATATATTCTCGGCCGATTTCACATATTTGACGCACCAATTTCAATGAAATATGAAAGGTGTGGCAGAGTTTGGTGTAAACGTATTTTTTTTAAATTATATTTAAATCGGATCAGATTGGGATATGATTTTAATAAGAACCATTGACCCACAACGCCTTAGGCTAACACTAAAAAACAACACAACAATTTATTTGAAATACGCTTATTACGGCGAAGTATGTTGCTATCTCGAATTCACTAATTGCAATAGAAATGCCACTCTACTTAAAAAATTGCAGTTTCCTGCACGCTTGGTATTTGCTATGAAATAAATAAATCCGAAGGACAAACCCTTCGTGTATGTATGTCATGTTACTGCTTTTCTAATGGTTTTGGTTATTTACGCATTAAAGTAGTGCAATAATTTTTTTTTTTAATTTTTAAATTTGTTTTTTTTTTTTCAACCAACATATGTTCGTAAATAAAATTTTGAATGCATATAAAATCAAAAGGGGTAGCGAAGCGCACCGGGTTCCGCTAGTTAAAATTATAAAAATACTAGCTGGCCGGCTGCTGGACCGTAGTTTTAGTCTTAAATGCGTAGTTTTTAAAACATAATAATTCAGAGAACTGGCTCACATAAGTGGCACAATTGTTAGTATGAATGATGTCTCTACTAAATAGAAATAAACACGCATCACAAAAATGTCAATACAGGTTCATGTACCGAGCGATTTTTAGTGTTTCAAAAAACCTGATCCTATTTTTCAGCCAGAGGTTTTAATTTAAGAGTTAAAAAGTTAGAATATATTAGAAAGTATACATCAACTGTTTATAATATGATGGTTTCCATGTAAGATGGTTCTCTACCCCAGAGTAGCATAAACACTTTTTTTAAGCCCTCGAAATAGGTAAAATCAGGAGGTACTTTTATACGGGCGCTACTCCGAAACATTGACATTGTTCATAGAAATGTGAACATAATTTTTACATTAGTTTAATCTATACATAGACAATGCTCGATCATAAAATATTTTATTGCCGTAGTCATAAATATCGGGAAAACACTTGTGTTTTAAATAAGTGCAGCATAGTTTATGACACTTAATATGAACGGTTGGGGTGCACTGATAATAAAGGCAATGCCCAAGTGATAATGCACTCAACCGACAGAAGATAAGTGGAGGTTGTTCTAAAAATAAGATACCCTAAGAATAATATTGTAGCTTAGCTCTTAAGAAAAATATTTAACCAAATAAAATCAGAATTGAAATAACACACAGACGAAACGGTCGTGTATCTATTCTCAACATTGGTCCTTCGAAAAAATTAAAAAAATCAACGACCTAGAATAATATTCACTGCAAAAAAGAAGCCAAAAAAAAAAAAAAGAGCTAAGAAGGCAACATAAAAAAGCGAACCAGCAAAAATAAAAGAAACAAGCAAAAAAGGAAACAAGAAAAAACCAAAAGAGCATAAAAAGCAAAATAAAATATAAACTAAAAAAAACCACAACAAAAACTAAAAACAAAAATAAGCAAGATGTCAGCAGAAAGACATAATCTCTATAAAATCCAGCAAACAATCCTTAAGGAAATAGTTGATATTTCGGAAAAGGTAAAAACTGGAACAACAAGAAAAGCCGCTTTAGACGCGTCATTAAATTCATTGGAGAACAAAATGGACGAAGCAAGGTTGTACCACTCAAAATTAAGTGAAATGAAGCCCAAAAACGACGCATATTTTAAAGATAATATCTGGGAGAGAATCCAGAACTATTATGAGGAAAGCAGGGAGCTGATACAAAAAAGGAAAAATGAGTTCCAAAAACAGGAGCTACAAAAATTGGAGGTTGAGCTTCACAAAGCAGAGGATACAACAGCGTCAGGAGACATTCAAATAGAAAATCCTGGAGCAGTGAATACACCCGAATGCAACAATACAGTAATAATGCAGCAACAGTTTCGGGAGTTACAGGAGATGTTGCTGCAGAAGCAGCAGGAGCAAATAACATCAATTTGCGAACAATTTCAGCAGATGTTCCTGAAACAACAATCCAACCAAAATAAAGATACGGAACAAGTGGAGAGGCAAGCCGTAGCATGCAGACAGACTGAGAAGAAGAACGCAGTGCTATTGCAGTTCAGAAGAAAGATCTTGAAACTTTCTAATGCCGTTGAAGAAGATATTTCGGGCATGAGCAAATATGCTTTGGAAAATAAAAAGCTTTCTTGGGAAAAGCAGTTCGAAGATATTAAACAGTTGCATTTGGAACTAACCACCGAACATGGAATGGAAGAAGTAGACGACGAATTAGAAGAGGTGGAAGAAAAAATGAATACGAAAGTATGCAATGTAATCGAAAAGATAAGTGGCCTGAAAGAAGCCGCTCAGACAGTCGAATTAAAAAGGATTCAGATTCCATTCTTCGATGGTAATGTGGAGGAGTGGAGTTCTTTCCACGACTTATTCAAAAAAATGGTCGACGGTAATGCTCAACTATCGGAGGTACAAAAGCTATACTACCTCAAAACTAACCTAAGAGGAGAGGCGTTTCGTTTGGTGCAGCATTTACAAGTTACGGACGCAAATTATAAGGCAGCGTGGGAATTATTAGAGAAACGCTATAATAATAAAAGAATATTATTCACTAAACTGGTGGACAAAGTCTTGGATCATCCTAATATAAATAGTTAATCAGCAACAAGCCTTCGAAAGTTATTGGACAGCGTGAATGAAAGTATTCATGCATTAAAAGCTATGGAGATACCGCTAGATCATGCAGACCCGATTCTAGCAAGAATTATAATAAGAAAGTTGGATAAGGATGGGCTCATTCAATATGAGCAAAATGTAAAAAAATCAAAAGAAATACAAAGGCTGGCGGATGTGTTGGACTTTCTAGAACAGCAATATCAAGCATTGGAGGCTTCGGCGGGCAGGAAGCAGTTCGTTCCAGTTCCATACAAACAACTGGATAGACTTGGAGTGACGGAGAAAAGACCATGTAGGTTTTGTATGTCCATGGGTCATGATATTGTGACTTGTAGAAAATTTGCGGCACAAACAGCAAACGAAAGGTACAGTTGGGTGAAGGCAGCCAAGTTGTGCTTTAAATGTCTAAAGCACGGAAAAGAAAACAAATGCTTCAGCGATAGTAAATGCCAGAAATGTGGATTGTTTCATAATACCCTAATCCATCTGGAGGGAACGAGCAACACCAAGGCAATGACAACCAATACAGCTGCAAATGTTCTCCTGGCTACCGCCCAAGTTCGTGTCAAGTCCGTGCATGGAGAATACATCACTCTAAGAGCCTTGATAGATCAAGGATCGCAAGTAACATCTGTATCCGAAGACGCAGCACAACTACTACAGCTGCCTAAATTGAAGACAGACGTAAGACTAAGAGGTCTAGGTGAAACCACGGTAGGCGTTGCAAAATCGAAAGTATTTTTGGTGATAAGGCCAAGATTTTTCAGCGATACCAAAATCGAAGCAGAGGCACTAGTTCTACCGAAGTTAGCATCAGCACATCCGGATAACAATTTCAAATACAACATTGAAAGATGGGGAAACATAAGTTTAGCGGATCCCAAATTTAATAAGTCTGAAAGGGTCGATCTGGTAATTGGGGCGGACCTTTTCCCACAAATATTGGAAGATGGAGTTCGTCACGATGAGGCGATTGTGGCACAGAACACAAAGTTAGGATGGATTCTATCGGGAACAATACAAATGAAGCCAGCAACGAACAACATAAGGTCTGCTGCTAAAACAACAATTGAGCGTTTTTGGGAGATCGAGGAGATAGAAGGCGAAGAGACGATCGCGGAAGATGATTTTTGCCTAAAACTTTATGAGGAAACAACACGATTAGATCTTTCGGAAAGATTTGTAGTACGGCTACCATTAGTGGAAGACAAAATTTTGGGAGAATCGTACAAAAGAGCAATGGTAAGATTTTTAAGTCTAGAGAAAAGACGGGAAAGTTGTACAGAATTGGGAACAGAATATAGAAAAACCATAAAGGAGCTAATATCAATGAAACACATGGTGAAAGCAGATCAAATGAAACAAGGAAAATATTACATGCCGCATCAAGCAGTAGTACGCGGAAACAGTCTAACTACAAAAGTGAGGGTGGTGTTTGATGCATCATCAAAAACATCAAACGGGAGATCGCTGAATGACATTCTTCATACGGGTCCAAAATTACAAAGAGATATATTCGACATCATCACTAAATGGAGGACATGGAGATTTGTTGTATCAGCCGATGTGGAAAGAATATTTAGGCAAATAAACATTGATGAGGAAGACCAGGAATATCAATATGTATTTTGGAGAAACAGCAAGACCGAGCCTGTACAACAATATAAATTAACAACAGTTACATATGGCACCGCATCAGATCCGTTCTTGGCTGTGAAATCCTTGATTGAAATTGGAAATAGATGCAAAAATCAAAAGATAGCTGGAAAAACTAAAGAGGATTTCTATATGGACGATCTGCTAACAGGAGCCAATTCCAAGGAAGAATGTCGGGAAGTTCAAAAGCAAATAGCGCAGGAACTAGAGACTTACGGGTTCCACTTAAGGAAATGGATCGCAAATGACTCTGAAGTTTTAGATGCTGTGAACAGAAGAGAGGAAAACGAAGTGTTACATATACAAGAAGATGAGTGCCTGAAAACATTAGGGTTGCAGTGGAACCCAACCATGGATTGTTTCACCTTCAATATGCAAATAGGTGAGGAAGAAAAAATTACTAAGCGATTAGCATTGTCGAGTTTGGCAAAGATTTTCGATCCGTTGGGTTGGCTAACCCCAGTTACAATAACAGCTAAGCTGTTCATTCAGCATTTATGGAAGCAGCAAATGGAGTGGGACTTACCATTAGAAGAAAGTCTAGGAGTTGAATGGAGAAAATTCAAGCAAAATCTCCACGCTCTGAAAAATGTGAAAATACCAAGATGGTATCAAATAAGACCATCCAGTACAGTACAGCTTCATGGATTTGCGGATGCATCGGAAAAGGTAGATTCGCAAATTTCAATAGTGGAGCAAAAAGCAGAGTGAATCCGATAAAAAATGCCAAGACTCTTCCAAAATTAGAACTCAGTGCGGCACATCTCCTAGCAAAGCTACTTCAAAAGATAGGGAATACCTTGACAACTCAAAAAACAAAGACAAATTTGTAAGAAACAGAGTGGTGGATATTTTGCAACGAATCCCGGCGGCGAAATGGGGATATGTCAAATCAAAAGAGAATCCGGCAGACTTAGGATCAAGAGGTGTTTCTCCCGATACACTAACAGATAATAAATTATGGTGGAATGGACCTGAATGGCTAGTACAAAAGGAAAATGAATGGCCCAAACTAAATCCGAAGACAACAATGGCAGTAACGACAAGAATATCAGCGGTTGAGAATAGCGTCTATGAAAAAGTAATGAAGTTTGCATCATTTAGAAAACAAATAAGAGTCATGGCCTACATACGGCGATTTATTCAAAAATTAAAAGGGACTAAAACAGAATGTGAGCATCTGACAGCGATCGAATTAGAGGAAGCAGACATGGCAATAATAAAGATACATCAGGAGCTTGAATGGCCGGCCGAAATGAGTCAGTTAAAATCGGAAGGAGCAGTAGATCATAAAAGTAAAATTGCTTCATTATACCCGCGGCTGGACAAACTTGGAGTTATGCGAGTAGGAGGAAGACTCCAATATTCATCGTTGCCGTATAATCAAAAACATCCGATTATAATCCAGAAGTCGATTTTAGCAGGAAATATTATTCGGCAAGCTCATTTGGAAACTTTTCATGGAGGAATTCGAATTATGGATAACATAGTAAGAAGAAAATACTGGATTATTGGAGCAAAAAACAGGATAAAGCTATGTATAAGAAGTTGTCCAAAATGTATACGTTATCGAGGTGAAGTGAAAAATCAGTTGATGGGGGATTTACCGGAATGCAGAGTTAACATAAACCAGCCTTTTCAACATAGTGGAATAGATTATGCGGGTCCCTTCCAAATAAGGTGTTCCAAAACAAGAGGAACTAAATCAATGAAAGGCTATGTAGCGGTTTTCGTCTGCATGGTGACGAAAGCAGTTCATTTGGAAGCCGTTAGCGAGCTTACCACTGAAGCATTTTTAGCAGCTCTTAGACGATTCTTTGCTAGAAGAGGCAGATCAAGCGATTTATATTCGGATAATGGAACGAACTTTGTGGGGGCAGCTTGACAATTGGACAAAGATTATATAGAAGCCTTAAAAAACAACTCTAATTTAACTCCGATTTTGGAAAATCAACGAGTTAAATGGCATTTTATCCCCCTGGGAGATCCTCACTTCGGAGGAATGTGGGAAGCGGCTGTCAAATCGATGAAGTATCACCTAAAAAGAATCGTTGGTGACATGAAGTTGACGTATGAAGAAATTAGCACCGTGCTGGCCCAAATAGAAGCGGTATTAAACTCGAGGCCATTACACGAGCTAGATAGCAGCCCGGAACACATCGACACTTTAACACCAGGCCATTTTATAATTGGACGTCCTTTATTAGAGGCTCCGGCAAGAATCGAGGAAGGAAGTTTGGCATGCGTTAACAGATGGAAACTACTACTTAGAATAAAAAATCATTTCTGGAGAAAATGGAAGGAGGAATATTTGATGACCTTGCAAAATCGTACGAAATGGAGGAAGAAGGATAGAAATCTGGAAGTGGGTCAAGTAGTTATCATTAAAAATGAAGAGACACATCCAGCTCGTTGGCCATTGGCGAAAGTGACAGATGTACATCCGGGAAAGGATGGGGTTGTAAGAGTGGCAACTGTGAAAACACAAGACGGAGAATTAAAGAGACCAATAAATAAATTGTGTCCATTAGAGCACGTAGATAATATACAAGAAGATCTGCAACAAAAACCCATGTCAGTGAATACAACAAGGCGGTTACCGAATCTAATACGAAATCCTGCAATGATGCTGACCATGATTATGAATCTTTGTTTGGTAATGTCGACTAAGGCATCTTCCGTCAAAGGATTGAACAGCTCGTCGGCAATGTACTTAGATCCATTTTCACAAATTCATATGGCCACATCTCGATCATAAAATATTTTATTGCCGTAGTCATAAATATCGGGAAAACACTTGTGTTTTAAATAAGTGCAGCATAGTTTATGACACTTAATGTGAACGGTTGGGGTGCACTGATAATAAAGGCAATGCCCAAGTGATAATGCACTCAGCCGACAGAAGATAAGTGGAGGTTGTTCTAAAAATAAGATACCCTAAGAATAATATTGTAGCTTAGCTCTTAAGAAAAATATTTAACCAAATAAAATCAGAATTGAAATAACACACAGACGAAACGGTCGTGCATCTATTCTCAACAGATATTAAAAAATTTACGCGAATAGGTTACGAAGGTAAACTCATTTCAAATAAGCATTCCCAGCTCTGCATTTTTTGTAATTTACCTTGTCAAATTTCAATGCATAAAAAATAGTTCCCATCTCTGGTTTTGTGTATATGCAATGGATTATGAATATAAATTTTGACAATGAGATGTTGTCAAATGTATAAATTTGAAAAAATTGTAAACATATGATTCAATGACTCTACCTTCTTAGTTCTACCATGGGTTATATATATTTTGAAAGAATGTCTTATACTCTCGAAAGTCTCAAATTACCAACATTTAAGGAATTTGAAAGGGGCTATATCAATTTTGGGGGTATATCACAATGTAGACCGACCTGATACATATTTTGTACAAATGATTCTTCATGTAACGCCTAGGACTGTATCAAATTTTAAACTCTATCGTAACTTTTGCGGAGTATAGAGTAAAATATTTTGGGCCCTTTGTGTATGGTTAAGCTATATAAAATCCCCCTTTAGGGATTTTTATCTACCAACCACAAAATTTCCCAAACATGACTGTATGCGTCGCAGTGTAATTACTGACGATAGCGCATAGTCCCCGTACAACGTTACATGTTATTTAAGGTTACTTTTAAGGGTTCGGAAGAAAATATGAATCCTTTTCTTACTAAATTTTCAATTCAATCCACCAATATGTATAGTCCGCATATTACAGTGGCTCTTCATATTCCGTATTTCATTGATTGCAGTCCCAGTGAATTTTGAATTTTGAGTTCAAATCAATCCAATGGATTATTTCCATATCTAGTAAATCTTTTGCAGTTTTGGACTTCAGAATCGATAGTAATTTCTAACTTGAAATCCTGGCAATATGACTTTAATTTAACTATCATAAATAAAGTTTCATCGGTTTAAAAAAGTGAGGGGCCCCATTAATTAAATTGTGTGAGCCTCTCCGTTCGCCATTTGCAATTACGATGGAGGTCACCAAATTTAAGATGCGTCTTTCAAACTTTGCACAGGTTTTTATATTATTCTTATCATGATTGAAGTTTAAAAAAGGTATATATTTTCAATATAACGGACAATTTTTTTAGTTCCGCGATTTTTAGAGGCTTTTCCCAAAATTTTCTTTTCTTTCGGTTTATATGTACAGTTTACAAATTAGACGAGGTCAGTTCCTCAGCCCCCAAATAAATACTTGGGAAAGTCAACAGTATCTCGTGTAACAATTTTCAAACCGATATCTACATTATTTGTCAAATATAAGAATATAAGAAATGTTAGATAATTCGAAATAGTGGGCGTAAAGTAGGCGTGGCCAACGAAGACGTGAACCTGCATAGACAATTTTCTGTCATAGGCTGTAGTATTCATTACGAATTCAAATACCAAACTGGAAACAATTCCGGTGAATAATGTCGATAAAATCATCAAGGTATCGATTATCGGGAGGTACCGCTGAATTCCGGCAAATAATGTCGCTAAAACCAGAAAATACTAATTATCGGGGGGAACCATTATATGGGGGCTATACCAAAACGTGTACCCATTTTCAAAAATACTCTGGCAACTCTGTTTCGATTACAAGTGTTTTTGTGTCGTCTCCAAAACTAAATTTATAAAAAATAAATTTGCCCGGTTAATTGTGCATTTTTGAGTGTTTTTTAGTGTTAATTTTATTAAATATAATAATTTGATTAAACTTGTGTTTTAAAGTGTTTTCGCAAATTCTAATATTTGTGTTATTCATCCACAGAGTTTATTTTCATTTTTGTTTGCTTTGTTCTTCGAAGCTTTGTTTTTGTTTTACTTTGACGTTTGTGCTTTACTCGTCTTGTGTTACGTCCTACTAAATTTCGTTCTTCCTGAGCATACTTTCGGGCACTTAGTTAATTACAAAAAACAATACCGTTCACACAGTTCTACTTTAAACTCTGTCGTTTACACCTAAAGTTAATAACATTTCTATTTGTAACTGTTGATAATGGCTTGCTCTGATAAGGATTGCAATATTAAAAACGTTACTGAACGTCTTATCACGTGTTATTTATGTGATAACTATATGCATTTGAAATGCGCTGGTTTTAATGGCAGACAATTCGACTTTATCACTGATAAATCTAAAGGACTCCGCTGGTCTTGTCTGGATTGTAGGGATTTAGAGGTAAATTTCCATCGTGTTTTTAAGGACACTAAAGCTGAAATTCTAAACCTTACAAAAAGTTTTAACTCTGTATCACAAAATTTCGATAGAATTGAAAAAATGGTTAATACCTTTGAATTTTTAGATGTTTCTCCTAAAAGGAAAAAGTCCGCTAGCGTTGTTAGTACTCTTGGTTCCACTATTTCAGACCCTGATAACTTAATAAGTTTAAATTCTCCTACTGTAGTTAACCCCCCTACTGAGAACTATACTCAATGCAATTGTGACTCACATCCGGCTGTTCCTGCACCGAACGTTAGTTCTTGCACTGATGGGAAAAAAACCTCATCAACGTCATTTGCAAAAAATACTCCCAACCCACCTACTATCGTAGTAAATGATACACATTTAAACCCTACAGTTGATCTAAATGAAGACTTTAATCAACCGCTTACTAATCAGTTAATTGTTGTTGCGCCTCGTAAAACTGTATTTTTATCTAGGCTGCACCCAAATACTTCAACTGATGCTATTCGTAACTATGTGAAATCTAAAATAACCGATCTGTCAGACAACGATATAAATGTATTCAAATTTAGTTCCTCTCAACGTCGTGAAATTTCCTCTTTTAAAATAAATGTGCCTCACAAAATAGTAAATACTATTGTTAGTAACTCGTTTTGGCCTGATGTTGCCTTAGTAAAGGAATTTGTTTTCAGAGAACGTACAAAAACCCCCCAGATCTGTGAATATTCCAACAGTATCAAAAAACTAAATGATGTCATATCTATACTATATCAGAATGTAAGAGGTCTTAACACTAAATTGAGTAATGTTTTTCTTAAAAGTGTATACTGTGAACATAAAATAATTGTTTTTACTGAAACTTGGCTCAAACCTGATATTCTTGATACAGAAATATTTCCCGATAATTATCTAATTTTCAGAAAGGACAGGTTGAATAAAAAAGGTGGTGGGGTTCTGATTGCAGTCCACCACTCGATTCCTTGAGAAGCTGTCGAAATTTTTGTCGACCCAAATAATGAATTTGTTTGTGCAAAGCTAATAGTCTTTGGTAATACAGTATATATAACCTGCTATTATATTACACCCAATTCAGGGGTTGAAACTTACTTAAATCACGCAGATCTTATTGGAAAAGTTTCCTCTTTGCTAACAGATAACTCTACTTTGATTTGCATGGGTGATTTTAATCTTCCTAATGTTTCTTGGTCTCGGGTCTCCATGATATAGTGAATGAAATTGTAAAATAAAAGCATGAGCAAAGCTAATTATAAAGGGCTTGTAAAGCCATAATCAGTTTCATATGAAAAAAAAAAAATTGGGTATAAAAAATTAGTTTATTCAGATTGTAAAAAAATTAGTTTATTCAGATTCAGATGTAACAAAAATTCATTGCTTCTTTTAGATTTTAGAAAAAAAAACAACGTTTTCCTCCCACTTAAGTTCAATCTTCAATAAACTTTGCGAAAATTTTTTAAAATAAATAGAGCTGAATTACGCGTTTATTTGAGGTACAATCTATGGAATTGACAATCTAGATATAGTGCTTTATTAAAACATATTCGGTATAAATGAGGCTTAAAAGTATATAATACAATAAAACTCTACAACATTCGCATATTCCCTCTTTCCTTCAAAGTTAGAACACTGTTCTGGTTATGTCAGGCTTCAAATCAACATTTTTTCGATTTTATACACATTGCTATAATTTCTAATTAATTTCTTAATTTTTTGCATTTTTGAAATTATAGATTGGAGCGATTTTCAGTTGTGTTTTGAAGCAACCTATAAACACCGTTACGTGTCAAATGCACTATTAAAAGCAAGAAAATGAAGTGACAGCCTGAATCCAAAATAAAAATAGGTAAAAAACGTTTTAAATTAAACGGTTTTATGTTAAACATACATTGCAATGTTTAAGATAAATGTACTAAAAACTAAAAAAAAATACAGTCGTTGGGAATTATAAACATATGCATAGACTAGACTAAAATAAAACAGTGAGAACGTCAATTGTCTACACTCGTTGATTAAAATGTTGGTTTTGTAATGTTACACCATAATTAGGAAGTTGTTCAATCGGCAACGATGGACGTGTGATAAGTAGGGCTAGAATGTGGAAACAAGCTAGCAAGCTTCATTACAAGCGAGTTTTAGGGTTTCGCAGTGGTGAGCAAGTAGTACTTTTATCACATGTTTTGTCGATTAAAGACAAACTACGAGCAGTGAAACGATTCCTCGCCAGCTAGCAGTGTGAACGATAAACGAGTCCAACGATAAACTAGTTGAAACATCTGTTTTATTTACACGGAGTGTATAACTATTGGAATTTCCATGAGCAGGAAAATATTAAATAATTTCCTTACCGTCTGCGGCCCACCTGCCTAACGACGAATTAAACGATTCTTCCATCGCACATTAAGTCGATGATTTGTAGACAATTGATGTGTCCCATGGTATGATTTAAGTCTACTCTATGCTGGATTAATCAGATACCTGGATTAAGCAGTTACCTAAATTACAAATGCAATTTCTAAATTTAAATCTTATTATTATACGTTATTTAGTGGCTGCGCCCATCTTAAATATTGAGGCTGTATAGTCCACTGCATTCTTTTTGTCAAGCCCTTTTATTTGATACTCATATTGATGGAATTGATAAAACCTAAGTTATCAGCCATTTGGTAGAGGCGGCCATCTTAGATTTCGATTTTGAATAGTAAATTGTATTCCAATTATTGAGACCTTTCATTTGATACCCATGTTGATGGAATTGATACAACCTACATTATCCGCCATTTTGTAAAGGCCGCCATCTTGGATTTTAATTTTTTATATTTTTTATAATTATTATTATTGTATTCTACAGGTTGAGCACTTTCATTTCATACCCATATTCATGGGGCTGATAAAACCTACGTTATCCGCCATTTTGTAAAGTATTATATTGTATTCCGCTTTCATTTGATACCCAGATTAATGGGATTAATAAAACATAAATTATCCGCTATTTTGTAGCGGCGGCCATTTTGAATTTATGTGTAATTTATATATATAGATGACTAGCTGGCCCGGTCCGCGTTGCATATTTGTCAAAGCATAATTATTCACAGACATGACTGATATAAGTGTTCACGTACTGGTCGATTAAAAGTGCTTTAAAATACCTGTACCCATGGTACAATGATATCAAGGTAGGGCTATGATACCATATGATTTCAATTTTTTCATTTTCTTGGCTTAATATGTCATCTTTATTTGTTTATGTATGCGTTTTCTTTTCAATAACAAAAGAATTGTTCAGAAAACATTCAAATTCGGATGTTTTCAAAATGTTTATTTCATCGTATGCATCGACAAAATCTAGAGTTTTTGTAGCGAAATAATCCTTTATAGATATATAGAACCTGGTTTTGAAAAGAAGTGTTGACCTTTCATTCAGTTTTCGCGGTTTTCAATTATTTATTCAAAATAAATGCAACAAGTTGTATGATTTTTTTATTGTTTTGATACTAATTCTGACATTACAAGCCAAACTTGCAATTTCTCTTCATTGTACCATGCCTGTACCCATGGTACAATGAATTCAAGGTAGGGCAGAACTACCATATGATTTCAATTTTTTTTTTTCTGGCTTAATATGTCAACTTTATTTGTTTATGTGTGCGTATTATTTTCAATAATAAAAAAAATTGTTCAGAAAATATTCAAATTCGGGTATTTTCAAAATGCTTATTGCAACATATGCATCGACAAAGTTTACATTTTTTGTCGCGGAATAAACCATAAGAGACATATAGAACATGATTTTGAAAAGAAATTTTGACCTTTCATTTAGTTTTCGCGGTTTTAAATTATTTATTCAAAATCAATGCAACAAGTTTTTTGCTTTTTTATTGTTTTGATAGTGATTCTGACATTACAAGCCAAACAGGTAGACCTCTATACTTGCATTTTTTTCAAAGTTAGCCTACCTTGTATTCATTGTACCATGCCTGTATCCATATTTAAGCAGTGGGCATCAATATTTAAACCGTGAACTTCAAATGTGTGGGTGTGCTATACAAATCCATTAAAAAGTATATATCAATCTTATCGCCATATAAGGGATCAAATTAATTTTTAGTATGGTAAAAATCGTAGCAAAATTTTCCAGTCAAATGAGCAGTAATTTGGAATTTACTGCATTTTGTACATCTCATAATTGAGGGCTGAATCATTTAAGAATAGCCAAAGATTGTGCATTAGAGTCCTCATAAGTCCCCCAAACCATGTCGGTCTGTTTGTTCGCCAAAAGGTGGACTTGAAGGGGTACTATTACATGGATAAAATTCTAAAATTTTGTTCATATGTTGAAATTTTTATGTAAGACTTCCACCCAAAATATACATTTTTAGCCAAATCCTTTGAAATATGGTAAAATCAGGAGGAACCTTTATATGGGCACTACTCCGATACATCGACCTACATTGAAAACTTTCTTCTACCCCTTATAATCCAATATTACAAATAGAGGCCAAATCAAAAATATAGCTATTTTACACCCATTACCGTAAGATGGGAATTAATTTTATTTGCCACTTAAATTGTAAATTGGAGACCCCATAAAGTCCATATTTTTAATCATAGTATAATTCAATGACGATTCAACAAATATTCGGTTCCGTGCTACTTTCATATATTTGTAATTTGTTCATGTTTTCACAATTGATTTCATATAGACGTACATCCCAAATCTACGTTCCCAACCAATATTCTCTTGGGGGTTACAAATTCAATAGAATACACGTTAGATGTAAAACTGGACTTGGGGATACTCCAATGTATGGACTTTACTTAAATAAATTCGTATGGGGCAATTATCTGTATGATGGTTCCCTACCCCAAGGTTACATATATACAAATTTTTAGTCAATGCCAAAATTGACCCTACTCTGAAAATTTCAAATTTTATGCGAAAAAAGAAACAAAAATGCCAAATAAGGGCCAAAAAAATGGCCAAAACCCCAGAAATAGCTTAAATCATATGATGGTTATATAAATATGAAATCAATATCATGGCCTGCAAAAACGATTTAAGGTATCTTGAATGTTTGGGAAGAATTTCTGGAAGGATATAAATCCTTTTTTTACTAAGAGTCCCATACGCTCTACTATTTTCTACCCACATATTTGGTATTTTATTGATTGTACTCCCAAAGAATTTTGCATTTTCAGCTCTCATTGGACGGATTATTGTCACATGAAAGAAGTAGGTCCACGCTTTGAAATGAGCCCCATTATGCTTTTTCGGTAATTTTTGTTTGTTTAAATGTGTTCGTATCTTCCATCTGAACCACGATGTCGGCCCTGGAGTTGAAAGGTAGATGTTAGTTAACATCGTATTTCGCACTTATTTCAATTTTTTGGTGAAAAATTGTATATAGTGAAAAATTATTATTTATTTTGTTCACAAAAAATTCACTGAATTCAATATGATAATACAAATTGAAAAAAAAATTGACAAAAGAAGAATAACAAATTGAAAAAATCTTCAATTTGTTCGCTGATTTTTTACAGCAAATGTTTAAAGATCCTTGCAAAGTTTGTCTGCAAAATGTACTATTATTTTAAAATTCGATTCCATTAATTTTTTTTTCGATTTTTTCCCGATTTGAGAATTATTGCAATGAGATATCTTTTTTCGTGATTTTTTAGCGATTTTGAAAAAGCAATTATCTTTTAACTTTAGTGTGACCGTTTTAAATTATTTCGATATCATATATTCCGTTTCGCAACCACATAATTCGGTAATACACTTCCATGTAACCCGACACCAATTTCAGTTCTCAAGAAATCAAGTCAATTAAATAAATTTGTATTAATATTCGAATTCAAAAACAAAATATAAAAAAACACTACAAATGTACATTCGAAAAAAGTAAGTCAAAATGAAAAAAAACATGCAAAATAAAACATTACTATTGTAAATTTCAAAAGTCAAAATGAAAATGTTAATATATCACATTTTTACGCGATTTTTTTGGATATTATCCTTTTTGGACAGGAGGTAATTCCGAATTTGTATGAATCGTTAAAATCAGTCCAGCGGTTCTTAAGTTATAAGCGTAGTAACTAACACAACTTTTTTTTATATATATAGATAACGAATAAACATAATTGTATTGTCACCAAAATCCACAGTGTAAACAAAATTTCAGATTAATCGGTTAACAGGAAGAGGGTGAAATTTGAATTACTAAATTTGATCCAAGAATAAAACAAACGCGGTAAGCTAAATAAAACCGTTTAAAAATTATCAAGTCAGTAAATTTGTTTAATGAAATTTTCTCTTAGCTATGTTCGTAGTAAGTGCCTTTGTATTACAGGTTTACCTAATCCCGACGTACCATATGAAAATACTCACCTTCCACCCCCCCATTATGGTAAAATATTATGCCTTTAACACCAACCAAAATAAAAACAATTAGCTGTTAAATTCAGCCGGACCACTTGGAAAGTTACACGTTTTAAATAATGCCTCTTCTCCACACACGTGTGTAGGGGTAAATTACAGTCCATAACAGACATATCTTATGAGGTCTACGATGAATATTTAGGAATGTTGCCAACGAAATGACAACGTAATATACCCTCCTTTTCATGGTGGAGGGTATGAAAATTGTTTGCGTATAAAACAATATAGTTATTCAGTCTATGTTATGTAATATTTTAACGTCTAAATTTGCTACAGATTTGAACATAAAATGTATATATTTTTATGAAACCCCACTTGACAATTAGGCAGTTTTGAAAAGTAAAACAACAATGCAATGATTGATTTTTTAATTCATTTATTTCTTGTTAAATCTCTCTTGTAGGTTTGTGTCGAGTGTGAAAGCTATAGTTGACTCTGCTAAATATTTAAAATTAAAACCTTTAAAATTTACTCAAAATATGTATTTGTTCATTGGTTTTTATTCATTTATAATTTTCTATTTGGACTACTGCTTTCGTAAATATACTTTTCATTAAATTCAATGAATTTGTTTAGTTTAGTTTTGTTTTATTTTAGTTTTCATATAATATTCATTCGTTCCAGTATTGTTTTTGTTTTATTTCATTTACTAGGTTGTTTTTTTAATTGGGGTTTGCTTTAGCATTTCTTCCATGGGTTAAAAATATTGTTGTTTTGTTTGTTAGTTGTAAGATTATGTTATTCACTAATTAACATTATTTATCGGAGATCCATTGTTATATCATCTAAATATATATATGTATGTATATTTTTATATTAAAAAACTTATGTATGAATTAACAAAAACAAACAAATTGCTTTGGTTTTCTGTCAATTATTAGCTAGATTCTGCTTTTCACAGACAATAACGATTAGATTGGACATCCAAGAATAGGAATATGCCCGAATATTGTTCACAAAATTGTCATTGCTCTTAAGTGATATAACGATATAAAGGAAGCGAGAAAAAGTTAAAAACAGAAAATGTTTCACTATTTACAGACATCTTTTGTAACAAGTTTTACTCTTCGTTTTATAAGAAATTCTAGTAATTTTGACATTTGTGTCACTGAAAGTTGCCGGATTTATTTTGTCTAGATCATATATATTCATTCAATTTGCCTTATATTGCGCACTAAACTTGTAATATCAGCCCAAATAGTATGATTTTTGGACCTGAAAATAAGTATGCCAAATTTGTTCGAAATCGGTTCAGATTATACATAGCTCCCATATATATTGTTCATCCGATTTGTTATTTTGTCCCCCGCAGCCGTAATATGCACTCTGTAACAACAATATTTGGGGAAATATATCAAATATAACTCAGAAATACCCTTTCTAAATTTTATCGAGATCTGTTAATATTTGGATATGGCTCAAATATGTATCTTCGTCCGATTTGCCTTTTATTGTGCACCTAACGTGTAATATTAGCCCAAATCAAATATATCTATCTAATTTCAAGTTGATTGTGCACCAAATGGATAATACAAGCCCGAATTGAAAAGGCGCAAATGCCTCGACAAACTTAGTAGAAATCCATTCAGAGGAGGATATTCCTCCCATATATTAGTTCCTTTGCACATTTAATTATTACCATAATCATAGTTGGTATGATTTAATTCTCACAAATTCCCCATAAAAACCTTTATTTGTTAAGTGACGCTCTACTAAATATGCAAAGTGGTGTAGGGTATCATGAAGTCGGCCCCGACTTCTATTTTTACTCCACTTTTTCTCTGATCCCACTGAAAAAAAGCAACTAACAACATTTTCTCTTTTTTGATTCTATTTTTGAAGTGGGCCGTTAGAATGAAGCCAAGATTATTATGCTTTCTAATAAGCTTAACCCCTTAAGAGTTCATTTGTACACATTTGACAATAAATATCTGATTTTCATTTTTTGAATTTTGGCCAACGGCAGCGACCACTGTACATTGGTTGACTTGAAATGTAATAGTTTAGGCCTAAGATTCCTTCGCGCAACTTGATGACTTAGCCAAACAATTTTTTGTTAAGGATCTTACGTATTTGTTGTTACTAACCATAACCCTTACTAACCATAACCCTATATTTACGATAGAAGTTAAGCGCATGAATTGCTATACGCATTGTACATCAAAAATTGAAACAAGTCCACCTAGAATTCGACGGAGTGTACAAAAAAATCAAGACGATTTAGCCATGTCCGTCTGTCTGTTGTAATCACGCTATCTTTCGAACAAATTGAGATAGAAGGCTAAAATTTTGCACACATGTATATTTTGCCAGTAGGCAGGTTAAGTTCGTAAATGGGTTCATGTTATCATATGTAGGTCCAAGTTATCATATAGCCCCCATTTAACGGTACCTCCCTATATTCGGTATTTTGATGATTTTAGCGACATTATTCACCGGAATTGTTTCAAATTTGGCATTTGAGATTCGTAATGGATACTACAGCCTAAGACAGAAAATTATCTGTGCAGGTCCACGTCTTCGTGTAGCCCCCATATAACGGTACCCCCGATATTCGGTATTTTGATTATATAAGCGACATTGTTTACCGGAATCGTTTCAAATTTGGTATTTGAAGTTCGTAATGGATACCACATCCTAAGTAAAAAAATGAGCCATGTAGGTTCACGTCTTCATATAGCCCCCATATAACGGTACCCCCCGATATTCGGTATTTTGATGATTCTAGCGACATTATTTAACGGAATCGTTCCAAATTTGGTATTTGAAGTTCGTAATAGATACTGCAGCATAAAACAGAAAATGGGCCATGTAGGTCCACGTCTTCGTATAGCCCCCATATACCGTACCCCCGATATTCGGTATTTTGATAATGTTAGCGACATTATTTAGCATGTGAAGTTCGTAATGGATACTTCAGGTCCACGTCGTCGTATAAGCATTTGGTATTTTAAAGATTTTAACAGAATTTTTAACGGATTTTATTTTTTTTTTTTTTTGGAAATTGCCAAATTTGTACCAAATGGTGGAGGGTATTTAAAGTTCGCCCGGCCGAACTTACAGCTTTTTTACTTGTTGTACATCTAAAATTTTCGGCTACATCCATGTAACTATATGTCCCGAATCAATCAATGGGCCGTTGTTACTTTTTTGTAAAATGGCACATATTCCAGATTGAAGTCGGCTATATTGCAAATAATGATCCATTTTTCGGGATTTTCGTTGCGTTGTAAACAATAAAATTCATGAGACCTTGGCTGTAGCTCAGTTATCTGAGTGGGTCTGACGTGTAATTGACATCAATGGAAACGTCACGTTCCTTCACAATAACTTGTGAAAAAATTGCAAAACTTGTAGATTCTTGCAGGTTCTGGAGCAGAGCCTGTAGAGCTGCTAAAAATTGTAAAATTAATTTTAAGATTATAGTACTTCCTCGGAATAGTCAAGTTAGACATTGTAATCACATTATCTTCCGAACGAATGGAGATAAAAAGCTAAAAACTCACGATATTCGATATTTTGACCACAAGCCACCTTTTTCAACAGATTTTTTATTTCGGTAGTTATGGTTCATAACGGGTTCATGAAATAACATTGTCTACATAAGTCCACGTTTTCCCGTAGGTATTTAGTTGGATGATTTTAGTAATATTTTTCAACGGAAGCGTTTAAAATTGGGTTTGTAATAGATACCAACCCTTCAACCGACAATTGTCCACGTTGATCCTCGTTTTTCTATAGTCCCCATATAACGGTACATATTCGATAAGGGATAAAAAAAGGTTCGATCCGCCCGAATTTGTTGCCATTTGCTTGCTAATTCTGCCTCGACTATATACATTTACATATATTTAAAAAAAAAAAAACAAATTATTAAAAATGAAACAAGTTCCGAAATATGAGTTTTTCGGTGGAACAATGACAACTTTGAGGTTCGGGATCGTTATCATCAATGATTTATATATGTATGTGTATATTAATGAATATAACTACGTTTGTATGCAAGTACATATGTTTATATGTAAATATGTATTCATTATATAATTGACGTACTTGTAAAAATAGGATTATTTTTACTTCATTTAATCAAAAAAGGTTGTATTAATATTTTTGTCATCAAAAAGTTTAAAAAATACACATTTTATTTTGTGAGAATAGTGTAAAGTCTAATGGTCACGTTTATATGCTCAGCTTTTAGAGCGCGTTTACTTGCTTATTTTTTGAAGCGATCGACAGTAATAATTGACCAATAACCACAATAAATTGAACCTATTTTTTCATTGTAAAATGTATTGTGATTAGTCGATCCCCCGCATGCATTTGGAAGCGGGTCACTCACTCCCTTTTTAAGATGCCATTTCTGCGAGAGCGAAGCTGGCATGCTTACCACTGGGCCACAGTGTCTTATATTCCTCATATAATAATTGTAATCTATCAATGCTTCATCCGACAGAAGTTACAAAATAGTTTCTGCACATGCGACAACTTATTTTATCTTCCTTGACGCCACTACGTAGTAACTCCGTGGCGATAGAAAACAGACAACAGTAGTTTTGTTATTGTAAATGTACATACTATCGTTTTTATTACGATTAGAAGCGTCACAGAAGTGGCATCTTAAAATGGGAGTGAGTTACTCACTTCCAAATGCTTGCAGGGTTATTACAGCTAACCCGAACAAAAATGTGTATGTAAACGTATTTTTACAGCGATAATGTGTATGTCATATAGATCAATAACAGAATAGAGATATTTATTACAAATATAGTTTGAACAAAGTTTGGGGCATTCATATTCGTCGCTTTTGCATTAAAAATAGAACATCTATGAAAAATATAATTACACAATACCCTGATAGTTTTATGAAATCCCTCATTCATAGTGCGCAATTTATATCAAGTGCTTCTCCTTATTGCTAATCTAATAGAAGTTTTAAAAACGCTTGACAAAATTAGTCAAACCCAATCAATTGAATATGATTTTTAATTTTTACAGTTTTTTACGGAGTTTACAATCACCTGTTTACACTTTACATGAATGAGAGTTCCTTTCTACACATACATATTTGGTTTGGTGTAATATATAAAAATAAAAAGCACCTGCTGCAGGTATTTACATACATTTATTAGAAAGTGCTGCAATATGAATGTCCCAAAAACCGCGAAGAAATCTTATATATTTTAGGGTTTCATATCAGTATATTACATTGTGTGTGCCAGCTTCAAATTTTAAGAATATAATGTAAAAAACTATTACAATTAATAATAAACCATGAATATTGTTAATAAATAAAAATAAATATTATAAATTGTTCGTGGTCCCTGATGTATTCCTAAATAAAAAGTAAATTGCAATAATGCACGCACACACATGTAAAAGTGAAATGTAGAGGATTTAAGATCGAAACATGTACGAACGTGTAAAAGGCATATTTATCCATATATTTGTATGCTACAGAAATATGTATTTTTATATATATACATATATATTTAATTTGCTTAATTAAAAAATAAAATCACTTGATTTTCATTTATGAACGGATTAATTTTCGACTTTTATAAAAGTTAAGTCACTTTAAATACCCTAGCCAAGATGTAGAGAAGTGACGTGCACAGGCATCTCCATTATCTTCTGTTGGTTATATCAGCTGTTATTTTAAATACAGAGTATAGTTTGACAGAAAACAGTTTTTAGAATATTGGCATAATTGTTCACCATTGCCAAAGTTAAGTGTGGTTGACCAATGTTCAAAACAGCCCATTAGTGTGGAGTTTTATGAAAATAGATATGTTTAAATTGTTCAAGCGGTTCAACAATTTTGAATATGAACGAGAAATATTTGTTGAAAAGTATATGGTGTATTGTAAAATTGATATCTGTATGGCTGATAGAGGGCGAAGGGAGAATCTGATTTTAGTCTTAGCTTAGGCTCGCAAATAGATAATACTTATGTAAATCACATTTTACGAATGAAAACTCCCTTCTTGTACCAACTCCATGCAGCATGCTAAAATTAACAATATCGGTCCACTCCTTCTAGCACAGTATCAGTAAATCTCATATAAGATAGAGAAGAATTATTCAAAGAAGTGTTTTGGTAAAACTTTGAGGATTGTATTGCATAATTTTGTTGAATGTTGTAATGTCCGATTCAAACTTGTTAATTTTATAGTTTACAAGTATTTGTTCGCTTATACCTTTTTTGGTCTATGTCATTATAATGTGTCAATAATAAAAATAATGTCAATAATAAGATCGGCTCGCTACGATAACTCAATATTGAGTTGTGACTTTTTTGCATATACCATAAAAGTTTTAAGAAATCGTTAGATTCTAAACTTTGCCAAGTTTGTATGTGCCCTTTTCAATGTATTGTAATGTAATCTCCTTTAAAAAAATGCTTATTTCAACGTTAGTTGTTTCGTATTTTGGAAACGGACTCCAGGTGTTATGTTTTTTTTTTCGAAAAAGATCAGAGTTACTTTTTTGAAGGTGTTGAACAATTATGCCAGAAGAGGAAAAAAAGCTATTGCAAGACTTAAAACATACACAAAGACAAAAAGAAACGGATTTTGAGAAACGTGAAATGGTACCCATAAAGTGATGGTGTATTACGAAGCAATTTACAAATTATCTACATTAGGTGAAGTTGGTTGGTTTTTGTTGTTGTGAAATGGAAAGGTGGTCGGGTCTGAAAACAATTACATATGTTTATGTGGGTGTGTGTGTGTGTGTGTTTCAATAATACATATTCAATAAATCTATATAAGTTATTAAAGCTTTCAGATTTCATTATTCTAAAGTAGTATCCTTAAAAATATAGGCCGTTATCTTATTATTTTAAAGAGGTATTTACATGTTTGACAGACATTTGGTTTTCATTTACCATCTGACACTGGACCATCGATCGATCGCCTCCTCCCATTGGACGCCATCTGGAATGAAGACTTGTCGGGGACATTCGTTGGCACCGCGTCAAAACCAAGTGTAGTTCTTAGCCTGTTAAGGGGACACAGTGGCGGTGACTGGTAGTCGTGAATTGTACTTTTCGGTTTCAGCGAGAACCCGAGCATTCGGCTGTCTGTGCACTTGGTGTCGCGACCGAGGGCGGGACTTAGGACGCTGGGCACTGTGGTCCCTTAATACGATTATTAAATGCTATTGGCGTTATTGCGCTCGTTTGTTGGTCGTAAAGCTAGTTATGTACGTATGTACGTATGTACGAATGTACCTTAGTATTTGGTTTTGGTAGTTTAAACTAGAATGTAATTGTACGTTTCAATACTGTGAAATTGCTTTAATTTACTGACTAAAATACTATTAACATAAGATCGGGTTTTTGTGTATTTAACTAATTTTCAAAGTTTGTCTTTATCACGATCGATGCTCATGGCCTTGAAGATGCCGCTGCGGCCGATGCCGTACCTCATATTGAACTGGTCAAGGCTGGAGGCACGAGGTCGGGAATGGGTTGGTGTTTGTTCGACTTCGGTTTCGCTGCATTCCGTTTCGGTGTCGCTCAGCTTTCTTCGCCTTCGCAGAAACGAGCTGCCCATTTTACTGTTGGGCAGAGCTGAGTGTTCGCTGAGTGAAAGCCCTCGTTTTCTTTCCTGTTTCTCCATTTCAGCTGCCAACATCCGAACCTCCCAATCATTGTGATGTACCTGCTTGTCAGAACTGTCGTTGTCATCGTTACCATCGTTTTCTTCAACTTCCTCGTCTAAGTGCAGTTTCTCCTCCGACGAACTGGAACTCGAACTGCTCTCTCCAATGTCCAGAATAACACTGTCCCCCAGCCGTGTTAGATTGCCCGCCATGTTAGCAACCAATTCGACTTGATTTGTGGCCTTGCTTTTGCCGTTTTTCGCCTTGCTACCATTGCCTGTTTTAGCATATGGACTGTAGTCGTAGGAGAAATCTTCACGATTCCAACTGGTGTTCGGCGAACAAGTATAGTGGCGTTTGGATTGCGTAGGTGGGGAGGAAGTGAACACTGTGTCCAGGGAATCGCCGCGCTGAAAATATTAAGAGAAGAATTTGGATTACGACCCATTGTTGACCATGCAGCTGCATGAGAGCAAAACCTTACCATAAAGAGCAATTCGGCCGATGAACCCGAGCTACAATCGTCTTCGGCATTGGCATCATTCTCTTCGTCAACTTCTTTCGCAGCAGAACATATCTTCCCACTGGTTTTCTCGCGATGTTGTTTCCTACGCGAAGTAGACAACGCGCTCAATTCCAACGTTCTGACCTTCGACTGAAGATGAGCAATCAGGGCGTCCCTTTTCTCTACCTCCAGAGCCATGCTTGAGAATTGAGATTCAAACTTTGAATGCATATCGCTGACATGTTTTCGTATAACGCTGTCGATGCCACACAAAATCTGGCTAAAGCAGTCGTGGCCTTCGGAAAACCCTATTTATAGAAATGGGCCAAGACATTCAACATTAAAAAATTGAGTAACTGATGATTTGCCTCATATTCAGTGCACGTGCTTGACTTTTGGTATTCAGCTACAGATGCTCGGTGTTTTGTGTTCGATACAAGGCGCATTCGGAAGCTACTTACGCTCGACAAAGGGCATTGCATGACTTTTGTTAGTATTAGTGCTATACGCATTCCAATTATATACAATTATATCAAATGTACCTACCTCGAATTGGCTCAAGATGTTGTGATGAACGTGTGATTGGTTTCAAAAAGTAATTTTTGTGTTCGTCTTTCGTAAATAAGATGTATGAAATCCGATTTTGTATACGGATGTAAATGTGCATGGAAAACAGATAGGTGGACGGACCAACAATTTTGTGAACTTATTTCTTTTGCAACACTTGGTGTAACATTATGGTACTGGGCAAAACAGTTCACAGGAATGTCTAAAATATTTATGAGTATTGCATGGTTCAAGCCATGCACAAGATGACACATGTACATGTAGGTATCAACGTATTGATCTCATTGATCTCTATATCATGTATTTATTTGGTAAGTGAAATGCAAGATTATTTGGAAGGTCCTACTGACTAAGTCTCTTAACTCCAGCTAATACCGCAGAGATGTCTGCATTATCGAATACGCTCTGTGAATTAACATCATTGAAGTGCCATCAGTGGGTGTCACTCAAAGTGGTGTAGTCTAATAATAATTCTCAGATTCAAGCACATTTCAACTCAATAAAATATTGCTACGTCTTTTATTATTCTCTCTGTCAATATAAGTTAGTTTAGTCAGAGGAGGAAAATTTTCAATCTAACGTTAGTGTACCTAAATAATTTACAGTTTAAATAAGTTAATTTTTTAATAATTGTAGCCATTAGGAAGATATTTGAAATCTACAGCTCTGTAGTGGGATTCTCTAAATCATATTTTGAGTTACCGACAAAAATCGGTAACTTTGAAATCCAAAATTTTGATATAAATAATAAGTTAAAGTTGACATCATTGATATCTATCGGTAGGTCCTGGCGACTACTTTGATTTCATCACTAACTTACCGACGAATCTCGTTAATTACGGTAACTCAAAAAATGAGTTAAGACAATTCCACAAGTTGTAGTTGATGTCTTTACCAAAACTTACCCATAATGGGTTCATTGCTTGTTATAGCCTCTATAAAATGGTACCACCAAATCTTAAGTATATTAAGGTTCTCAGAAATCGAAATTTTCCAATAAAGCTCTGTGTGAAAACCAACATACAAGGTATTTAGTTTTATCCACTAATAAACAAACGTTGTTTTTATAAAAGCAGCAACTATAGGATTAATAGCCTATTTTGTAACAGTATTTTTTTCTTTTCGTTTGGAAATTTATCGAAATTTATCTTCTGTCAGTTTGTCACTGAAAGAAAAAAAGCTTTCTCCCTTCTATTTTTGGTTTTGTAACGAAGAAAAAAAAAAAAACGATTCGTTTTAAACATAAATTGGCTGTTTGTTACAGAATCATACCAAAATTGTCTTATATGTCAACTTTTTGTTGGCGCATATTGCAGGACTATATTCATCAAATGTTTTCTCGACATTTTTAAATTTTATTTTACAATTTTTCGATGAATTTTGAATATATTGGGGCATGGTTATGGTTAAGGAAACACTGACATATCACAGTTCTTCGGGAATGGACGAGAGCTTTCAAAATATTTATGAAAACCCAAATTAAAACGAATACGTTTGAACACGAACGATTCGAGTGAAAGCTATTTTTTTTTGCCAAAGCAGGATGTATGTCTAACTATTTTTCAACAACAAAATGACTACGGTATCCCGAACAACACTGTTCTATTGATAGAACAGGGCGCCGTCGACGAAGGGTTTTTTGTTGTAACTGGCAAAACTAACTTAAAAGCAATGGTTAGGCTGATTTCGTTCAGGTAAACAAACGCATGACGAGTGGAGGAGATGATTATGTTAAAAAGTGCGGTTGTAAGATTTACAAAAAATGCAAAAAAAAAAAAATTGTTTAATTCAATTCTTTGGCTCTTCTTCTATTGATCTTACCATCTCGTCACCTTTGTCAAAAAAGTTTTTGTCATAGGAGTTATTTTTAAATAAATCCTGGAGATAATATCCCCAGACAAAATCCAAGGGAACTGATGAGGATTAGAGGCTCTCTTGAAAACCCTGGCATTCCCTGCCTTACCAATAGTAAACAATATCATCTTTCCACTAATGAACAAACGTTGTTTTTTTATAAAAACAACAATTATGAAATTAAGCATAACTATTTTGAAACAACAAAATAACATGTACTTATTTGAATGTAACCGAAATATGTTCATACCCTATACCACATAGTGGTAAGGATATTATGTCTTTGTGCATTTGTCTGTAACATGGAGAAGGAAGCAGATAGACCCATAGTTACTTTTGAGGATCTCCATAGAATCACTTTCTGAGTTGATTTATGCATGTCAGTCCGTCCGTCTGTCCAAATGCAGGTCGCATTTATTATCCGATTGAGATGAAATTTTCCAAACAACACTTGTTTGGCCCAAGGACGAACCCTATTGAAATTGGAGATAATCGGTAAAAAAATAGATATAGCTCCCATATATATCTTCTTCCGATTTGCCTTTTATTGTGCACCAAACGTGTAATATCAGTCCGAAGAGTTTGGAATTTTGCACATACAACCAAATTAGGCCTCAAAACAAGTATGCCAAATTTGATCGAAATCGGTTCAGATTTGGATATAGCTCCCATATATATTGTTGATCCGTTTTGTTATTTTTGTTCTCCGCAGCCGTAATATGCACTCTGTAACAACAAAATTTGGGGAAATATATCAAATGAAGCTCAGAAATACATTTGCTAAATTGTATAGAGATCGGTTCAGATTTGGATATAGCTCCCATATATATTTTTATCCGATTTCAAATTAATTGTGCACCAAATGGGGAATACAAGTCCGAATTTAAAAGATACAAATGCTTCGGCATATTTAGTCCTTTGAACTTTAAATTACAATTATAATCATAGCGTGTATAATTAAATTCTCCCATAAAATCTTTTAATTGTTATGTGGAGCTCTAGTCAATTAGCAAAGTGGTGTAGGGTATCTTTCCTGTTTTTTTTTTTTTTTGTATGTTGAAAATTAAAAGAATTATAGAAAAATGTGTTCAATTAAATGTTTTCCTTGTCTACCAAAGTTTAATCTAATTCGTCTTACAATTTCTGAGATGTGGCGCTTTTTTTAAAAGGGGTGTAGGATGGAGGGGGTGTCATCCCCCTCCAAATAGCGATTTAAAAAAAGGCTTACCTATTTTTATTAGGAAGCCTTGCAAACAAAAAAATTGAATTGATTCAGTCGATATGACCGGCCATGTAGTAATTACTCAATTATTTATCTAAGCTCAGAAATTTATTGCGGTTGGAAAATTTTGCTGGGTTTTTAAGTGCTGATGTAAGGTGGAACAGAAATGGCGAACACATTCTGGTTTTTGTTACATTTTTGGTTACTCTCAAATGTGTTGTTTTGGACAACGCCTGGGGACAAAGATGACCGTATTTTTATTATTCGCCTGTTGCAAAGTTTTAAACGTAGAAAACCCCATAAAATGTAGAGGATGTCATAAATTCTTCGACACATATGAATAAGGGGTGGGTTACCAGTATGGTGCCATTCGGTAAAAACTGATCAATTCATTCTGTTTTTGTCAAAATTTCACAAAGGCCCTTCAGCGCATTCAGACTTAAAAATACAAATGTAAATGTAAAGGGCAGCTGCTCTCTTCTGTAAAAATTAATAATGCATATTTCAATTTGGACAAAATATTCTTTTCTGTTTGTGAAACATTTGTTAAGGTGAGAGTCCATGTGTTGCTTCGCATCATGGCTAGGCATATTAATTACAAATTATGAGGGGAAACGACTGCTCTGGAATCCCTTTATGATATGTCACAAAATATGCCATGCGAAGACTTCACGCTGCTTATGTACTTATGCAATCCACACATGATACAACTGGTTGTACAACTTGGAGAGGTTGTATTCAAGATTGTATCGTTTGTGGCCTGGTTGTGCGGTTGTACAAAAAATCATTTTTTTTTTTGATATTTCGCATGTTGTACCAACAGATTGTAACGTTTGTGGGCATGTCGCATACAATTTCATTTTGTATTAATTTTTGAAGAGGCAACACCATTGTTTTGCACATCAAAACAGTACGAAATCCAATCAAATGTGTGATTTTAATGTATATATAAAATGGAATTTCAAAATAAATAAAAGCTATTGAGTCAATTAAAAACCATGAATTTTTTCCGGTGTCATCTTAACTCAAACTCTACGAGAAGTGAAGTTGCACGAAGAGGTTGTACAATAAGTTGTATCGTTTGTGACCGAAACACACAATTTGAGTACTCTCCAAGTTGTACAACCCCTTGTATCGTGTGTGGCTTGCATTACACCTTTGGTGTAATTTGCTTATATATAATTTGCTTTATTTTGATCGATTCCTCGCCAGAATACTTTTGACAGCAAGAGCATTATGGTAGAATGGCAATTGGGAGTTTGCTGTTATCGATCTTGTGCTCTGAAAGCATTTTTCACTCAGGCCACGTCAATAAGAAAAACACTGACATAATGTTTTCAAGTCTGTTTGTTGAAGTTTTTGATTCATATTTCGGTCTGCTTCACATCAAGTGACACGTATTTTATGTCATATATTTTTGTGTAAACGCCAATTTTTATACTCTCCACTATTCTACTCGAATTATGCCTTTCAGACCCCATTAAGAACGTTTATATTCTTGGTAAGCTTGAAGATTTAGTCAAGAAAATGCCAGTATTAGGTGTAGAAAATGCTCAACATAGGTTAACGTTTCGTTCGAATATTGAATCTCGTCAATTTTCTTTGGCACTTTTAACAATTTTTTTTCTATTTTTTTTTTCTCGTCCCAGCCGAACAAAACTTCTTGTTTACTCATTTAACTGACACTTTTTGTATTATGAATGAATGGTACCAAAACAAGAAGCAGCAGCAATTGCTGGCGTTTAGTTTGACAGCACAACCACAAAAAGAAAATTGTTGAAATAAAAGAAAAATGAATTCTGAATGAATTCAAATTTACCCCATTAAAGCTATTCGCCATGTTTGCCATGGAATTGAAAGAAAGAACTGTTTAGAACATATTTTTGAAAAAAAAAATCCAGCCATTTCATTCATTTTCCCACTGTTTAACTGATTTTAAAAATGAGGAAAAATATTGAATAAATTTGCATGCAAATTTGACAGGAAGCTGGTATAGCCCCAGGGCTGTATTCCTGTAGTTTTACGAAGCTGCACTACCTTCATATTGTAGCATGGTGCAATCTTGGTAAAATGAAAATAGTTTGTTAGGCTGATTTCGTTCAGGTAAACAAGCGCATGACGAGTGGAGGAGATGATTATGTTAAAAAGTGCGGTTGTAAGATTTACAAAAAATGCAAAAAAAAAAAAAATTGTTTAATTCAATTCTTTGGCTCTTCTTCTATTGATCTTACCATCTCGTCACCTTTGTCAAAAAAGTTTTTGTCATAGGAGTTATTTTTAAATAAATCCTGGAGATAATATCCCCAGACAAAATCCAAGGGAACTGATGAGGATTAGAGGCTCTCTTGAAAACCCTGGCATTCCCTGCCTTACCAATAGTAAACAATATCATCTTTCCACTAATGAACAAACGTTGTTTTTTTATAAAAACAACAATTATGAAATTAAGCATAACTATTTTGAAACAACAAAATAACATGTACTTATTTGAATGTAACCGAAATATGTTCATACCCTATACCACATAGTGGTAAGGATATTATGTCTTTGTGCATTTGTCTGTAACATGGAGAAGGAAGCAGATAGACCCATAGTTACTTTTGAGGATCTCCATAGAATCACTTTCTGAGTTGATTTATGCATGTCAGTCCGTCCGTCTGTCCAAATGCAGGTCGCATTTATTATCCGATTGAGATGAAATTTTCCAAACAACACTTGTTTGGCCCAAGGACGAACCCTATTGAAATTGGAGATAATCGGTAAAAAAATAGATATAGCTCCCATATATATCTTCTTCCGATTTGCCTTTTATTGTGCACCAAACGTGTAATATCAGTCCGAAGAGTTTGGAATTTTGCACATACAACCAAATTAGGCCTCAAAACAAGTATGCCAAATTTGATCGAAATCGGTTCAGATTTGGATATAGCTCCCATATATATTGTTGATCCGTTTTGTTATTTTTGTTCTCCGCAGCCGTAATATGCACTCTGTAACAACAAAATTTGGGGAAATATATCAAATGAAGCTCAGAAATACATTTGCTAAATTGTATAGAGATCGGTTCAGATTTGGATATAGCTCCCATATATATTTTTATCCGATTTCAAATTAATTGTGCACCAAATGGGGAATACAAGTCCGAATTTAAAAGATACAAATGCTTCGGCATATTTAGTCCTTTGAACTTTAAATTACAATTATAATCATAGCGTGTATAATTAAATTCTCCCATAAAATCTTTTAATTGTTATGTGGAGCTCTAGTCAATTAGCAAAGTGGTGTAGGGTATCTTTCCTGTTTTTTTTTTTTTTTTGTATGTTGAAAATTAAAAGAATTATAGAAAAATGTGTTCAATTAAATGTTTTCCTTGTCTACCAAAGTTTAATCTAATTCGTCTTACAATTTCTGAGATGTGGCGCTTTTTTTAAAAGGGGTGTAGGATGGAGGGGGTGTCATCCCCCTCCAAATAGCGATTTAAAAAAAGGCTTACCTATTTTTATTAGGAAGCCTTGCAAACAAAAAAATTGAATTGATTCAGTCGATATGACCGGCCATGTAGTAATTACTCAATTATTTATCTAAGCTCAGAAATTTATTGCGGTTGGAAAATTTTGCTGGGTTTTTAAGTGCTGATGTAAGGTGGAACAGAAATGGCGAACACATTCTGGTTTTTGTTACATTTTTGGTTACTCTCAAATGTGTTGTTTTGGACAACGCCTGGGGACAAAGATGACCGTATTTTTATTATTCGCCTGTTGCAAAGTTTTAAACGTAGAAAACCCCATAAAATGTAGAGGATGTCATAAATTCTTCGACACATATGAATAAGGGGTGGGTTACCAGTATGGTGCCATTCGGTAAAAACTGATCAATTCATTCTGTTTTTGTCAAAATTTCACAAAGGCCCTTCAGCGCATTCAGACTTAAAAATACAAATGTAAATGTAAAGGGCAGCTGCTCTCTTCTGTAAAAATTAATAATGCATATTTCAATTTGGACAAAATATTCTTTTATGTTTGTGAAACATTTGTTAAGGTGAGAGTCCATGTGTTGCTTCGCATCATGGCTAGGCATATTAATTACAAATTATGAGGGGAAACGACTGCTCTGGAATCCCTTTATGATATGTCACAAAATATGCCATGCGAAGACTTCACGCTGCTTATGTACTTATGCAATCCACACATGATACAACTGGTTGTACAACTTGGAGAGGTTGTATTCAAGATTGTATCGTTTGTGGCCTGGTTGTGCGGTTGTACAAAAAATCATTTTTTTTTTTTGATATTTCGCATGTTGTACCAACAGATTGTAACGTTTGTGGGCATGTCGCATACAATTTCATTTTGTATTAATTTTTGAAGAGGCAACACCATTGTTTTGCACATCAAAACAGTACGAAATCCAATCAAATGTGTGATTTTAATGTATATATAAAATGGAATTTCAAAATAAATAAAAGCTATTGAGTCAATTAAAAACCATGAATTTTTTCCGGTGTCATCTTAACTCAAACTCTACGAGAAGTGAAGTTGCACGAAGAGGTTGTACAATAAGTTGTATCGTTTGTGACCGAAACACACAATTTGAGTACTCTCCAAGTTGTACAACCCCTTGTATCGTGTGTGGCTTGCATTACACCTTTGGTGTAATTTGCTTATATATAATTTGCTTTATTTTGATCGATTCCTCGCCAGAATACTTTTGACAGCAAGAGCATTATGGTAGAATGGCAATTGGGAGTTTGCTGTTATCGATCTTGTGCTCTGAAAGCATTTTTCACTCAGGCCACGTCAATAAGAAAAACACTGACATAATGTTTTCAAGTCTGTTTGTTGAAGTTTTTGATTCATATTTCGGTCTGCTTCACATCAAGTGACACGTATTTTATGTCATATATTTTTGTGTAAACGCCAATTTTTATACTCTCCACTATTCTACTCGAATTATGCCTTTCAGACCCCATTAAGAACGTTTATATTCTTGGTAAGCTTGAAGATTTAGTCAAGAAAATGCCAGTATTAGGTGTAGAAAATGCTCAACATAGGTTAACGTTTCGTTCGAATATTGAATCTCGTCAATTTTCTTTGGCACTTTTAACAATTTTTTTTCTATTTTTTTTTTCTCGTCCCAGCCGAACAAAACTTCTTGTTTACTCATTTAACTGACACTTTTTGTATTATGAATGAATGGTACCAAAACAAGAAGCAGCAGCAATTGCTGGCGTTTAGTTTGACAGCACAACCACAAAAAGAAAATTGTTGAAATAAAAGAAAAATGAATTCTGAATGAATTCAAATTTACCCCATTAAAGCTATTCGCCATGTTTGCCATGGAATTGAAAGAAAGAACTGTTTAGAACATATTTTTGAAAAAAAAAATCCAGCCATTTCATTCATTTTCCCACTGTTTAACTGATTTTAAAAATGAGGAAAAATATTGAATAAATTTGCATGCAAATTTGACAGGAAGCTGGTATAGCCCCAGGGCTGTATTCCTGTAGTTTTACGAAGCTGCACTACCTTCATATTGTAGCATGGTGCAATCTTGGTAAAATGAAAATAGTTTGTTTCAAATTTAAATATGATTTATCGAATGACGTTCGGACTACTTTGCATATGGTTGTTGCTTTCAATAGTTCAACAACACGTGCTGTTACCAGTAAAATTGTACCATGTTATGGATCCTGGAACTTACATACCCATACTGATAACGTTACTGCTCGTTGGTTTCTCTCCTCAATTATAGAATCTGTCCAATTTTACAGGCGAATACAATAATTAAATTAAGACATAAATATAAATATTGCATGCAATAAATGCAGGATCGGTGTTGTAGTCCATACAAATCAATCAGTCTGTGTAAACGTATGTGTGTTTTGAGCAATATATACAAAATTAGTACATACATATGCACGGTTAATCTACGAGTTTGTTATTTACTTGGCGACATTCGCTTGTAGCTAATTTGCATCACATTACTTGAGTTGCAGGATTAGTAGATTATCGATTTATAACACCGAAGTGGGAGGGGGACACAGAAGCATTTGAGTTTTGGGTTAGTAGTGTCGAATGCAGGGGCCGGGGTTGTGGTTTCCTGGGGGAATGTTTGCCTGGCGGCACATTGTAATTACCTGTCAACGATGGGGCATGGGTCTGGCATGTGGTGTGATTTGAATCGGCAAGCGGGTAAACGTTTGTGGGGTACATGGTAAGGGTGCTACTACTATTCATTTGAAATGTCTGAGAGACGTTGGCTGAGGTACACGTGGTAATTGATTCGGCACGTATGAGATCGGGTGGTGACATCAGCGGATCGCCATAAAGTGCACAGGACACGGCGGTCGGTGTCAATATGTGGGTATGTAAAGGCTTTTCGGTGTATGTGGGATCCTCTTGCAGACTGCCAGCATTGCTGGGAGGGCTAGAAAGAGTTGAATTGAATGTTACACTCTTGAACAGTTTACTGTGCCGCGCCACGTACCCTTCCACTGTGGGCTCCATTGAGAGACTCCTGTGTTGCGGTTGCGAGTCTGTGGGCGCATCACAGCCAGTCCCTGTCGGCGATCGTCGGTATTGTCGTTCGTGACTGAATTTCTTGAGGATGCTTTTTAGTTTTCTCCTCTCGAATGTTTCATTGGACTCTGGACTGAGGGGGGCATAATCGTGTTGCACCGAATCTAAATGATGTTGTCTGTGGTACTGTGTGGATGGGACACCCTTGGGGGTCTGCGACGCGGATGTGTTGGTCGATGTCGTGGAACTTGACTCGTATACAAATTGCGAATTTATGCCCGCCGTATCGCTATGGCAACGGTACAGTGCTTCAGGCATGGGAACACAGCTGGTTGTTTTGGAACTGTCCAAGCTGAAGCTACGGGTTTGAAGGGCGCTCTCTAGCTCGGCAAGTTTTTGCCTTTCGTTGAGAATTTTGAGACGTTTCACAAAAGGCAATCCGTTGTATTCGGGTGATAAGTCGAATACAGATTGATAAAGTTTCGATCTGGTGGCGTTTGCGTCAGTGTTCCCATTGCCTGAGTTAACCTGTTTGCACTTATCAGAAATTTTTGACGATTGGCCCATGGCGTCTTGACGATAACCCCTTTTCCTCGCAGGCACAGGTGGGGCTTTTGATGCCTTCTGAGGCTGTCCTTCTTTCGATATCTGTCGTGGAATATTGCCATCGGAGTTGTTTTTCAATGGAGAAAATATGTCGTCTGAGGATGTGTTTGATGTGGCTAAACTGGTATAACTGGACGAAATCATTGTCGCCAACTTAAGCTTGGACCATGGTTTAATAGGTGTATCTGTATCGGATACAATTGAGGATGTTGCTGTGGACGGTTTGATGATTTGACTTGAAATGGTGGAAATTTGTTTGTGCGATGCATTGGACCCATCACTATTCCCTCTCTCGGCCATAGGCGTTTCTGCTTCAACACTTTTCAAAACAGCTAATGATTTGGGTGGTTCCTTCTTTACACCTCCATTGGAGGCTGACGCAGTCGTAGCCAGTTTTTCACTGGGTTCTGTGCTTTGAGTTTGTGGTATTTTGGTGCCGTTGCCACTTGAACTCTCTGCCGCCTCTTGTAGTTTTTGTATCCTTTGTCTAAATGACACCTTCATCATCGGTTTTATTTGGGCTACTGCCAGAGACGTCGGCGCCGTGTTGCTATGGCTGCTACTTGCAATCGATATGTTTTCTACTTTTTTTGTAATTTCACCTACCGACATGATCTGAAAGAATCGGTCATGGTACCAGAAATGCGTCAGGAATGAAAAAATAAACTTACCGGTGGGGAGGGGTCGGTGCCCTGGGCAGCAGGAGGATCGTTTTTGATCTTTAGTTGCTGCAAGCGTTGAATCAATGGCAACCCCTCGTTGATCTCCCTCTCGGGTTCCTCCTGTATCGATTCCTGTGGTGATAACGTACAGGTTACATGTGAGTTAGGTGGAGATTTCTGTGGTGGTGTAGACTTAACAGCTCGCTCTTCGCGATCCTAGTGCAAGACACATAAAGACACATACAAAACTACTTTAGGAGCGGGGATTGACACTCAGTAACTCAGTTTGCGGGTTGGCAGTGTATTTGTCAAACAATTCCAAAACAAAATGCGAAATAAGCGAAAACGGAACTAAAACGTGAAATTAAAATTCACATTCGAATAAAGCACGCCGGACACAGCACGAAAACAAAAAGAGAAATCCCAACATACCAAAAAGTTAATATGAGAATCATAAAACAAATGTTGACAGAGCTTGCAGAACTCTTTGTTGACGACTTTTGGCATAGACAAATGAAAATATAGACAACGAAATGCTCTCACCATTTATCTTCGAAAAAATCGCATCACCCGATGTCGTCTATATCGTTTCAGGGGTATGAGTGAGAATATTGAAGTTACTCAATTTTAAAAAACTGTTGGATATTTGTCAGTTGAAAATTGTTCCATAATAAACGATAAGTGAAAACTATGTAGTGGCATCGAAAAATATGGTAATATTCCAGTGAACATCTTGAAAAACGATAAAATGTGTTTTCGAAGTCGAGTGGGTTGAACGCGTAAATCAGCATGTTGAATATGCAAAACATGATGAGAGCCACCTGGATAAAAAGACAAAATTAACTTTTCGTTGTCTATATCGTCATTTATCTATGCTTTTGGAAAAAAAACTGTCATTGAAGAGCAAATTTGCAAGAGCTTTTGTGAGGTCTAAGTATAGGCTCAAACTAATAACTATGAGCCTATAAATAAGATTTCTGCTTCGATTAATCCCTAGCTGTATTTTGTCATGCCTTTTTCAAGCTCAAGGCCTATCTTCGTAAGCTTCTTATAATATTAATCTCAATTTCGTTTGGTATGTAGGGCTTAAATAAAGAAAGAATACAAAAGCAATTTGCGTGTGTGTGTGTGTGAAGTGTTTTTGTGAGATAGTTTATGGATTGATCCGAGCGATAACTATTTATTTTGTCTAAACGTTAAAGCTCTTGTGACCCCTAAGGTATGGAAAAAAAAAACGAAATACCAACGAATACTTGGAGTCATTTGGAGCTGATGAAGAAACTACATATCTATGTACTTGTATAAAGCTGCGAAAAACGACTAGGTCCGTCTATAGGTAAGTTGAAATACTTATTGGTAATTCTGAATGAAATCTGATTTTTTGCAATGTTAGATTTACCCCAAATAAAAACCTGTCGGGAACACAAAGATTATAGAGAGAGAGAGAGAGCAACGCTAGAAGATGTGTTTGAGCAGCGGTGCTCAAGAAGAAATATCTCTTTTCAGTCAAATTTCTCTTTGCTTATTTAAATCAAGAACAAAACAGTGTTAAGTCATTATTTATACAAATATTTTTTATCCATTTGCTTTATAAATTATTTTGGCAAACATTCGTGATTAAAAACAATTTAATAGAACCGTAAAATATAAAGAAAAACAGAATTTTAATTTTCTCTTTTTTCTCTTCATGTTCTAGAACACGGTTTTGAGCACCGCTGGTTTGAGGCAATCGCAGTTCCAAACAGGAAAAATCACTGCAACATTGATTTAAAAATGTGTCGCTCCATAGGGCCAATGTAAATACGAGGACTGAGCTGAGATGACGGTCCTTGGCTGAGTAGAAGAATATTAACGCAGAAAACTAACGGTCAAAATATATATGTATAAAAAATATGTGTTTATAAATCCGCATGTCAAAAATAAATTTCTTTGAAGCCATTATAATTCCTTAGAACTTCTTGCAGTTTGACAACTATAAATCAACATTTTAAAGCCTAACATAGTATGCTGTACTTTAGCAGACCTGCTAGTAGATAAGTCCGTAAAAGAGAAAACTGAAATTCTAGTTTTTCTTATATTTTATTTTATTTTATAAGTTTGCCCAAAATTATTGATAAGGCAAATTATTAAAACATATATAGCATTTTCAGATTAAATGAAACTTTTTGCAATTCAAATGAAACTTTTTGCAGCGGGAATGAAACCTTTTGCAGTGGAATTGAAACCTTTTGCAGTGGAAATGAAACCTTTTGCAGTGGAAATGAAACCTTTTGCAGCGGGAATGAAACCTTTTGCAACCGAAATGAAACCTTTTGCAACCGAAATGAAACTTTTTGCAAATCAAATGAAACTTTTAGAATTTTAGAAGAAAAAATAACAAAACATTTTTATTTTTAGTAGGTTTAAAATTAAATCAACTAATTATAACTAATATATAGTTAAAGAGGAATTTTTATTGATTATTAATATCTATGTTTTTATAATTTTTTTAAAGCTTCCATAAAACACAAGTGTAGATGCAGAAAGATTGAAAAAAGTTTTTTCAAGGTATTTTTTTCAAAGGACCCGAATTAGGTACCTTTTTATAATCTCCTCCATGAAAGGGAGATATAATAAATTTCTCATTCGGTTTGTAACACCTCTAAATATTCGTCGTAGACCCCATAAAGTATATACAATCATGATCATAGTTGATTTAATGATCAATAAAGCTGCTAAGCGGGAATCCTTTATTAGGTAAGATTAATAGTATACTATAACTATAAAAATTGTGGTAAAGCTTAATTTCACATTTCAGTCCTGGCCATACCTATAAAGGCCAAAATTTGTTTAAATTTCTCTTTTTATCGTTAAGCATTTGGGATTTAATAATATGGAAGCATTTTATATCAAATCAATAAAGAACCATTTGTTATTACAATAATTGAAAATTTCAGAAATAATATAAATAAATGTAGATATTTATAATCAATAAAAATCCTCTTTGTCAATATATTAGTTATAATTAATTGATTTAATTTAAAAACTACTAAAAATAAAAATGTTTTGTTATTTTTCCTTCTATAAATTTAAAAGTTTCATTTGATTTGCAAAAAGTTTCATTTCGGTTGCAAATGGTTTCATTTCGGTTGCAAAAGGTTTCATTTCCGCTGCAAAAGGTTTCATTTCCACTGCAAAAGGTTTCAATTCCACTGCAAAAGGTTTCATTTCCGCTGCAAAAAGTTTAATTTGAATTGCAAAAGGTTTCATTTAATCTGAAAATGCTATAGATAATATTTTAAAACAGATTGGTTGATGATTTTTAAAACATTTACTGTATCTAATGTTTCGAAATGTCACCAATTGGACAACAAAAAAATATCAAATGCAAGGATTGATTCGCTCTTCTAAATAAAATATGATGCGTATCTTGTGATGTTGACAACATTTCTATGGATCTGTGACTACAAGAACTCTAATTCTGTTTCCTGTTATTTTTATACCCTCCACCTTGGAAAGGAGGGTATATTAACTTTGTCATTCCGTTTGTAATATCCCTAAATATTCGTCGTAGACCCCATAAAGTATATATTTATAATCAGCATACAATTCTAAGTCGATTTAACGTTGTCCGTCTGCTGTTGAAATCACGATAGGGTAAGTGTACCAGTAGTCGGCACTTTTAGGTTTTTCAATATTTCAATCTTTCGACATTCTGAGTGAAATCTTTCAATTGCAGAAAAATAAAGTTGTTCAGATTCCAAATTTTGTTTAGTTTTGGAATAATAAACAACAATTGAATTTGTATATATAAAATTGGCAAAAATTGCAATTTTAATAAAATAGTAGCCGGCCCAATTTTCCAATGCTCGGCATGACTATTTGCCAGTAGTCGGCATATGCTATTTCAGAAAAAAATATTATTTTGTATATTTTTTTCTTTCAAATAGTATAAAACAATGCTATATTACTAATTCACAGTTTAATTAACTAATTTCGTTTTTAAATAGTGTTTTATTTAATTATCATTCTAAACCAAATATAGGTAGAAAATCAAGAATAGTATGGTTCCTTCAGTAACGTTTGGATTTTCAATTGAAAAAAAATTGAGATTAAATAAAAAAGTACCTTTCTTATATTTGGAATTTGTGAATTGATCTTTTTCCTTTAGATAACCAAAATTTTTTTTAAATGCCACCGCTATCTTCAACGTCAAATAGCTGATTTAAAAAAAAACCTACTTAATTTAGAAAAGTTGGTCAAAAAGCACAAATTAAAGCAACTGCCAACTCAAAACTATATTTTATGTGAGTAGTTTTTGGATTATTTTTTAATACTTTTTTCAAGTTTTGGTGAAATAGGTCAAAAATGATATTTTTCACCCCCTGCCGACTACTGGCAAATCTCTTTTTTCTCTTTCTAATGTCGGCATTAAATAATTTAAGAGAAAAATTCTTGATTATGTATGTTTTTTAAGTTATAAAATGATCTTTAGACTGTTATTTACTATTATAAAATATTTCTGATTCCAAAAGTATTAAATTTAATTTACTTAAATCGATTATTAAATTGACGCCACCACTAATTTTTCTTTACAAACAAGCACTATCGCACGCGTTGGAAGACACTCACTGCCAAAACCCGTTATTCTCTCTTCATAAATGATCGGAGTCCATTGTTTTTTTTACAGAAAGAGAGCAGATAACACAGTTGACGCTTTTTTGCAATTATTTCATTATTTGGTCAATTCTATTCTTAGTTATTTAAGTTTAAATTTCAAAACTGCCGACTACTGGGACATGACGAACTTATGCGCACTTACCCTACAACCTACATTATTTGACGTAGAGCGTCAAAATTTAGCAGAATAATTTGTATTGTGTCTAGGATGGTTGGTATTGAAAATGCAAATATATCGACCCACGTTCTGGTATAGTCCTCATGTAACGGTACCTCCCGATATTCTGTATTTTGATTTTTGCCACATTTTTCACGGATTTGTCTAAAAATTGGTATTTGTCATAATGAGTCCTAGTTCGTGTGGCGAAACATTGTATGTATAGGTCCACGCTTTGGTTTTTTTATACCCTTCACCGTAGTATGGAGAGTATATTAAGTTTGTTATTCCGTTTATAACACCTCGAAATATACATTTTAGACCCCACAAAGTACATATATTCTTGATCAGCACAAAATTCTATGTTGACTTAGCTATGTCCGTCGGTCTGTGGAAATCACCCTAGCTTCCGAACGAAATTAAGTTGATTGATAAAATTTTACTCAAATGTATATTATGTCTGCAGGACTTTTGGTATTGAAAATGGGCCATTTAGGTCCCCAGGTATTTGATGATTTTGGGGACATTATTCATCGGAATTGTTTGAAATTTGGTATTTGAAGTTAGTAATGGATACTGCAGCCTTATGCTGACAATTGTCTGTGCAGTTCCACATTTTGGTATAGCCCCCATATAATAATACATTATTCACCGATTTTTTTTCCATGTTTCGCATTTAAATATTATAATGTGTTATGACAAAATTGAATGCAGGTCGACTTCATCGTTTAGACCCTAATATGACGGCTACATTTGATATTTTTAACAGCATTTTTAACGGATTGTATTTTTTTGAAAATTGCTAAATTCTTTCCAAGTGGTGGAGGGTAAAAGTTCGGCCCGGCCGAGCTTACACTTTTATTACTTGTTACTTTTATACACTTACACCACATAGTCGTAAGGGTATTATTATGTCTTTGTGAATTATTTGTAACATGGAGAAGGAAGCGAGATTGACCCATAGTTTTTTTTTTTTGAATATCGTCTTAGAATCACTTTCCGTCCGCCTGTCCATGTATTTTTGTGAACAAAATGCAGGTCGCATTTATTATCCGATTGAGATTAAATTTTCCAAACAATGTTTGTTTGGCACAAGGACGAACTCTATAGAAATTGGTGAGAATCGTTTCAAATTTATATATACCTCCCATATATATCTTCAACCGATTTCGGGTTCTGTACCAAGCGGCCAATATCAGTCCAAATTACCTGAATTTTGGCACATACGACCGAATTCAGTCTAGAAGTAAGTACATACACGGTTCAGATAAAGCTATAGCTCCCATATATATGTTTCATCCGATTTGGGGTGTTAAGTCCTCACATGCGTAACATGTACTCCACATGAATGATATTTGGTACCTGACATCAGAAAATACCTCTGTTAAATTTTATCGAGATCGGTTCAGATAAGAATAAAGTTCCCATGTACTCCCACATGCACTCCTCAACAATGATATTCGATACCGGGCATCAGATACTGTTCGAAAATACCTCTGCCATATTTTATTTAGATCATCCGATTTTACGGCTATTGCTCACCCTGTATGTAATATAAGCCAAAACTGAATAGATTTTTATACCCTGCACCACAAGGTGGTGAGGGTATTATGTCTTTGTGCATTTGTTTGCAACAGAAAAAGGAAACGAGAAAAATCCTTTTGATGATCTGCATAGAATCACATTCTGAGTCGATTTATGCATGCCCGTCCGTCTGTCTGTCTGTGCATGTATTTTTGTAAACCAAGTACAGGTCGCATTTATTGCCCGATTCAGATGAAATTTTGTACAAATAATTTGTTTGACCCAAGTACGAACCTTATTGAAATTGGAGATAATCGGTCAAAATTTAGGTATAACTCCCATATATATTTTCGTCCAATTTGCCTAATATTGTGCACCAAACTTGTAGTATCAGCACAAATAATATGGAATTTTGCACGTCAGTAACAACGATATTTGGGGAAATATATCAAATATAACTCAGAAATACCCTTGCTAAATTTTATCCAGATCGGTCAATATTTGGATATAGCTCCCATATATATCTTCGTCCGATTTGCCTTTTATGGTGCACCAAACGTGTAATATTAGCCCAAATGGAATGGAATTCGGTACTTACGACCAAATTGAGTCTAGAAACCAGAATGTCAAATTTGGTGGAAATCGGTTCAGACATAGCTATAGCTCCCATACATATTGTTCATTCGATTTGTTGAATTTATCCTGCATAGCCGCAATATGGACTCCGTAGTAACGATATAACGATGTAGTAACGATATATATATATATATATATATATACAGCTCAGAAATAACTTTGTCAAATTTTATCGAGGTCGGCTATATATATATATATATATATATATATATATATATATATATATATATATATATATATATATATATATATATATATATATATATATATATATATATATATATATATATATACAGCTCAGAAATAACTTTGTCAAATTTTATCGAGGTCGGCTCAGATTTGAATATAGCTCCCATATATATCATTTCATCATTTCATATTCAACGGAATTTTACCATTCGATTAAACTCGGTATATCCATTGCTCCTATAAATATTTTTAATATAATCCTTATCGAAGTCATATCATGCACTATTTAGAAATGTTATTTGGGTAAAAGTTGGTATGATTTACTTCACATAAATTCCCAATATAATTTTTTCTGTTACGGTAGCTCTACTAAATACACATAGTCGGCCCGTCCGACTCTTCACCTCTCTTTACTGTTTTTTATTTTGGCTGTTATTTTCTTTAAGTTTTTCCGTCTTCATGGATGCAGTTTTTTCAAAAAGCTATGCTCGATATTTATATAGCTTTAATAGCTAGGCCGTAAACAATGTAGACCCTGGTTGAGGGCAAGATACCTACCTACCTACAGTTTAAAGACGGGCATGCATAAATCTGAGGGGCATGCATAAATCGACTCAGAATGTGATTCTATGCAGGTCATCAAAAGGATCGATGGGTCTATCACGTTTCTTTTTACCTGTTACAAACAAATGCACAAGGACATAATACCTTGACAACCTTGTGGTCAAAGGAATATAAAAAGATATAGTTTAAGATGAGATTTATTTGTTTATAGTTTTATAGCTGCACAGTGCAACAGAAGCCAGTGTAGTTCTTATTACCTGATTAGTTTTTTTTTTGAAATTTAAGGTAAGACTGGGTGCCAAAGATATTAATTTAGAAATGTGTGCAGAATTCTGGTCGAACTGAAACGTGATTTAAGGAAAAATAACGTGAAGCCAAAGTGCAGTGCATTCTCTAATGTATGATATCGTGCGGTACAAAATGAGATCGAAATCGAAATTCGCTCAGCCCCTAGTATTTGATTTTTTATATATTGTCGACTGAGCTGCATTGTTTTATTTCATATATTAAAAGGAACCGTCATTTAGTGTTATGCAAAATATCAAAGCTCGATTCCTAGAATTCCTTTGCAATATTTCTAGTACTCTGACCAAAATATTCACAGCGAAAGCCGCCTCTGACTTTAATTCAATAACTGTGTTTGGCTCAACTATTACCAAAGAATTGAATTTGACGATATGGCGAGGCATACCCTAGTGATCAGTTCAGTTACGTAGAACAAAGTTCCATCCTAATCAGATGAGCGCCTAGATTTTGATATCTATTAGATTTCAAACGCGTTCTATTCCATATAGTCTCTATCGGAATCTAAAACAACACATGAATATCGGATATGAATATTGATGATTGACTTTGATTTTCGGATCGTTTTTCTGGTGCATACGCATATTGAGTTGTGCATTATTCGATGGATAAGCACATTTCAAAAGTGTGATTTTGCATCAACGCCATCATCATTAGTTATTGTGTCAAATGCTGACGTCATACATACAAGTAATGAAAATAATGATTACCAGCAACTGAATGTGTGGTTGCAAACCAAAAACAAAAAAAAAATATATATATATATATATATATAATGAAGAAGAAGAAAAAAAGAAATACAGATTTTACAAACACACAGGCGGGACGCATACATACCTGTTTCTCTTTGAGTAAACGCAGTCTTTGCAACAGCGGCAACCCGGCCCCAATGGGACTGGGAGTTTTATCGTGCAATTCGGCCTTCACATCCGCCGACTCTTCCTTTTCATCGGATCGCACTCGGGACATACGTTTCAGCATGGTTTTTCCATTTTTAGGGGATGTGTTGTGTAGCGGCTGCATTTCCAATGACTCATCACTTCTTCGTGATGTTCTTAGACGTTTGCCAAAACAAAATGTATACGTTGATCATATTACTATCTCAGGATTATAATTCTATGATTTTTTATTAGGTAATGTAAGACAAGTGCAAAGGCTGAAGCTGAGCGGGGCCGACAATGTGAACCCCTACACAAGACTTTCTCAAGATCTAAAACCCTTTTGCTTAGCATGAAATAACGCTTTGAGATACTGAGATCAATAATAGGACTTGTTCTTGCATTTAAAGGTTGGGAATTGATATTATTACGTTCCTCCTTTCGAATAGTCCTAGCGATGTGAATCCTATATCTTGCAGCAACCTGAATTTGAGTCTTCAAATATTTTTATATTGTGATGCGAGAGTTGTATCTGGCACTTGCTCGGTACCATATTAAAATCCAGTCCCTTGTATATGTTTGGATATATCATTATTTAAGTAAAAAGGTATTCACAATTGTATCGGAATTTTGATAATTCTCACACAAAATTATAATTCAGTTTGCCCGCAAAACCTTTATCCGATCATCATCTGCCTAAAGATCTGACCTACTGCAATGTTTCACCTTGCTTAAAAGGCTTAAAATATAGACTTCTATTGTGATCCTAACCTGGCCTCATGCCAAATTTCGTTAGGATCTGTGGTGTTGGGTCAAAAAAAAAAAAAAAAAGGTTAACTTTTGTATCAGCCACGCCACAACAATTCCCATATCTAATAGATGTTTGAATTACCTGGTTTTTTTAAGTACACTTCGGAATCCTTTGACATCATGTCTCAATTTATCGACAATCTTCTTTGAGGCACTATTTTCGCTACTATCACTGTGATTAACATGGTGGCTATGGCTGTGGTGATGTCCTTGGTGATTGGCTGCATCCTTGTCCGCCTTGGCTTTGGCGTGTTTCTTATTAACACATCTGACTTCCATTAGACGTTTTCTTCCCAGCGTTTGAAGTATTTCTTGAGCCTCTGGGTAGTCTTTCATAGCCGCCAATACATCTTCACGGGATAGGGAAAAAAGCTCGGAATACCCTACCGATCGAACATCTGCAGTTCGTCTGGAATTTGTATAAAGATCAATTTGAGTATTTAAGAATGTATTTCCTTTGCCATTGTCCTACTTGTTAAGGCCATCTAAGTTTAATATTCCGATTTCGCCGAAAAAATCACCCGCCTTCATGGTTGTCAACACTTTGCCCGTTTCGCTCAACACTTCCAAGATGCCGTCTGCTATTATGAACATTTCTCTAGCCACTTCGCCTTTGCGACATATTGAATCTCCAGGAGTGAAGATATACGCCTTCATTTTTAGCACCAGGTCGTGCAGGAATTCTGGTTGGCATTCTTGAAAAATGGTGACTTTTTTTAAAACACTCAAATTTACGTGCAATGCCAATTCCGTCTTCAGTTTATCTGGTAAAAGGCCAAGGGCTGTATTTATGTCGCCACCACCTTGGATGCGACCTCTGGACCAACTGTAGTCGTACCAACGAAGAACTCGCCGCTTCATACCACCAGGCACCTGTAAGATGTTAACAATCGTATCTATACTAAATCTAGTCAACTGGGTGCTAAAAGTTACCATACCTTATGGTGTCTCATGTAGGTTTTTGCTCCATCCAGCAGCCTTTCAAATTCGAGGCGATTTGCGTTTCGGTTGGTAATCACATTGCCAACTTGGCCGACAATGGTGGCAAAGATAAAAACACCAATTAAATAACTCACTATGGTGAAGACATATCTGAAATTGAACCATAATTTTAGGATTAATCGTTTACCTAGTCACACTCCTAAATAGGATTCATCAAAGTTTTCGAAAACAAGGATGACTTCACATACAAAGATGGTTATGAAGGAACTATGTACTCCTTGAAATGAATATCACAATCAACAGTTGAAGGCTGTCCGAGATTTTCGAAAACTTTGATTCTATTTATTCTTATCAAGAAGAAATAAAAAGATTAATGCAAATTACAACACTAGGCTTGGCTTGTTCGTTAAATTTCTTACGACTGGCGGACAGCCCTCAACTTTTTTTTTGCCGATATTTATTCCAGAGAGGTTTCTTAGTTATACGTAAAGTTATATGCATACCCATAGCTTGAACCAAACTGAAGTAATCTGGATTTGATTCCGCGCCTCGGGATCGATCTTGGGCCGTCCACCGAAAAATTTGGTCTTGATTTGAGTACGAAATATTGAATACAAAATATGTATGTATGTAATTAGTTATAGTTTTAGTGTGCTTGTCGCTAAGGAGTAACACAATAACCCAATGTAAATCAATGTAAAGCTAGAAGGTCAACCACATCTACTGCCGGCGAATGTCACATGTTGATATGAATCTCCCAGCTCCCAGATGTTAACTCGATTTACATCGATGTACCTATACATGAAATCCGTGTACAAGCCCAACAAGTCATGTTCTCAGTTTGATTCTATCTGAATTTGATTTGCATAACATAAGGCAAAAGTTTACAGTTCGCCAACAGAGAAGGCTGTCCTTCTAAGTTCTAAACATGGTACAAAACTGGGATTCAAATCCGCGCTTACGATTGTACACACTTTTTCATTTATTTCAAACATGATTATGAGACTTACTCTGCATTTGTCTCCGGTGTTGGCAAATCACCAATTGTGGTCAAGGTAAGAGTTGACCAATACAAACTTCCCAAATATTTTCGAGTCAATGTAGCATAATCTCCCGGACGGTATGGGTAAACCCAGTCACCCTGAAACAAATATTCACTTCATATAAGAATGTTGGGAGACAGCAATAAATGTGTGTTGCACTTACCTGGAAGCCTTCTGCTTCGGATAATAAATAATAGAAACAACCGAACCAATGGGCCAGTATCAACAGGATATGAATTAGGTTAACAACACGCCATAAATTTGGCCAAACAGTTCTACTTTCAACAATATAGTAAAAACGAACAGATCTATAAACCTGTGAGTAGAGATACCCGTCTCAATGTATTTCCAATAAAGAAGAACCGGACAAAAATGTTAATGTACCTTAAAGAAGCGAGTAAAACGTAACAATGGCTGAGGACCCATTCGCAGCTGCAGCAGATCAAACGGAACCAGCGAGATCATGTCCAATACAAAATTTCTAGAATGTATATAATGGCTAGCCAATTTCTTGTCATCGTAAACCTGGATACAAACGATCGAATTGTATTATGACTCGAGAAACCTCGATTTGGGGCCAACAGACAACCGCAATACATACCATGAGACCTTGTTCCAAATATCCAGTTCTCAACTGGACGATAATGTCAATAACAAATACCACATCTGTTACGCTATCACATAAAAACCAAAATGTCGGAACCGCTTGCTATTAAATGAGAAAACTTGTCACCAAAACACAACAGGCATTGTACGGAGCTTTAAACATACCTGCAGCTCGGGAAAACTTTGACGAACAATAAGCGTCCATAAATTGTACAAAACACAAATTGTCAACACCATTAACCAGTAGAAATGGAAATTTTCATCGGGATTAACAACGGAACGTCGCTTTTGAAGGTAACGTCTTCGCCTTTTCACAGTTTTATCAACGTCTCCAGAGGCACTTTCGGACCCTGTGTCTTCTACGGTTTCCTGCGTAAGAATAAAAATAAATTATCATGGATTAAGTTAATAATTTAAAACCACATCTCTGCACGAACATGGTTGGGCATAGTCAAATAATGATAATAATAATAATAATAATAATAATAATAATAATAATAATAATAATAATAATAATAATAATAATAATAATAATAATAATAATAATAATAATAATAATAATAATAATAACAATAATAATAATAATAATAATAATAATAATAATAATAATAATAATAATAATAATAATAATGATATTATTAATAAGATTGTCTAATAAATATGGATAATTCTGAAAAGTATCCGTAAAATTACAAGTACCCTCTACGCTACATACATAACAGATGGGTTTGTAGTGTGGCTCAATTATCACCAGTTAGCAGCGAAACCCAGCTTATCTGACTCCATAATGTCAAACGCGATATGACGTTTTGTGTTCTAATTTCATTTTTATATCCTCCACCGTAGTATGGAGGATATATTAAGTTTGACATTGCGTTTGTAACACCTCGAAATATGAATTTAGACCCCACAAAGTATAAATATTCTTGATGTCGATTTAGCGACATCCGCCGCTCTGTCCGTCTGGGGAAATCACTCCAGCTTCCGAACGAAATGAAGTAGGATAAAAAAATCTATTCAGGTCTGGCAATTCAGCTAGGTCAGTAGGACTTTTGGTATTGAAATGGACAATATAGGTCGACCATGTAACTGTACTGACAGATTTAAAGTTGGGTGTTGAAGTCACAACATGGAAGTATTAAGAATGTAAAGTCATGCAATTATATGCTTCTAATTCTTTCATAATTATCCATTTGACAACATCTCATTGTCAAAATGATTTTGACCGACATTTTATGTATACGCATAACAGTTATGTCAGTTATGTTTCAAAAATAATTATAAATTCAAAATAAAAACGTTAGCTTTAATTTGAAAATATTGGAAGGTGTTTTCTTTGCAAGAAAATTGAAGTGGTTTATTTTGAGGCAGTGCACCTTTATATTCTAACCTTTGCACATAATATGTGTTATTATACCCTCCACCATAGTATGGAGGGTATATTAAGTTTGTCATTCCGTTTGTAACTCCTCGAAATACTTATATCAGACCCAACGAAGTATATATATTCTTGATCAGCATAAAATTCTATGTCGATTTATCAATGTCCGTCCGTCTGTGGAAATCATTCTAGCTTCCGAACAAAATGAAGTAAGTTGATAAAATTTTACTCAAATGTGTACAATATCTGCAGGACTTTTAGTATTGAAAATGGGCGGATCTATACGTCTTCGTATAGCCCCAATATAACGGTACCTCCCAATATGCGGTATTTTGATGATTCCAGCGACATTTTTTACCGGAATTGTTTCAAATTTAGTATTTGAAGTTTGTAATAGATACTACAGCATAAAACAGAAAATGGGCCATGTAGGTTCACGTCTTCGTATAACCCCCATGTAACTGTACCCCCCCGATATTCGGTATTTTGATGATTTTAGCGACATTATTTGCCGGAACTATTTCAAATTTGGTATTTGAAGTTCGTAATGAATACTACAGCCTACGACATAAAATTGTCTGTGCAAGTACAGGTCTTCGTATAGCCCCCATATAACGGTACCTCCCGATATTCGGTATTTTGATGATTTTAGCGACATTATTTACCGAAAGTGTTTCAAATTTTGTATTTGAAGTTCGTAATGAATACTACAGCCTATGACAGAAAATTGTCTGTGCAGATCCACGTTTTGTAACCACTATGCTACGTCCCTATATTCGGTATTTTGATGATTTTAGCTGCATTATAAACAGATTTCTATACCCTACACCACATAGTGGTAAGGGTATTATGTCTTTGTGGATTTGTTTGTAACATGAAAAAGGAAACGAGATAGACCCATAGTTACTTTTGAGAATCTCCATAGAATCACTTTCTAAGTTGATTTATTCATGTCAGTACGTCTGTCCGTCCGTCCGTCTGTCTATGTATTCTTGTGGACAAAATGCAGGTCCCATTTATTATCCGATTGAGATGAAATTTTCCAAACAACATTTGTTTGGCTCAAGGACGAACCCTATTAAAATTGGAGATAATCGGTAAAAATTTAGATATAGCTCCCATATATATCTTCGTCCGATTTGCCTTTTATTGTGCACCAAACGTGTAATATCGGCCCGAATACTATGGAATTTTGCACATACAACCAAGTTAGGCCTGAAAATAAGTATGCCAAAGTTGATCGAAATCGGTTCAGATATATATATTGTTCATCCGATTTGTTATTTTTGTCCTCCGCGGCCGTAATATGCATTCTGTTACAACAATATTTGGGGAAATATATCAAATGCAGCTCAGAAATACCTTTGCTAAATTTTAACGAGATCGTTTCAGATTTGGTTATAGCTCCCATATATAACTTCGTCCGATTTACATTTTATTTTGCACCAAACGTCTAAAATATACCCAAATGGGATGGAGTTTGGCACATACGACCGAATTCAGTCTAGAAGCTAGTATGTCAAATTTGGTGAAGATCGGTACAGATATAGATATAGCTCCCATATATATTGCTCATCCGTCCGTCATTTAAAAGATACAAATGCTTCGGCATATTTAGTCCTTTGAACTTTAAATTATAATTATAATCATTGCGTGTATGATTGAATTCTCCCATAAAAACTTTTAATTGTTACGTGGAGCTCCGCCCGACTTTAGGATTTTTTTTACTGGTTTTTTTTCAAGTTTCGCATTGTAATAGCTTGTGAGAAAAGTTACCTATGCAGGTCCACGTCGTCGTATAGACTCTAATATACGGCTACATTAGGTATTTTAAAGATATTAACAGAATTTTTAACGGATTTTATTTTTTTGAATCTTGTTAAATTTGTACCAAATAGTGGAGGGTATTCAGAGTTTGGCCCGGCCGAACTTACAGCTTTTTTAGCCGAACTTACAGCATTTTCAATACCAAAAGTCCTGCAGACATAATACACATTTGAGTAAAATTTCATCAACCTACTTCATTTCGTTCGGAAGCTAGAGTGATTTCCACCGACGGATAGACGGACGGACATTGCTAAATCGACATAGAATTTTGTGCTGATCAAGAATATATATACTTTGTGGGGTCTCAAATGTATATTTCGAGGTGTTACAAACGAAATGGCCTCCATCATAGAGATACGGAGGGTACAAAAAAAAAAAAACAAAAAAAAAAAAAGAGTTATTGGGCTTATTCAAAACCCCTTGAAACAGGGAGTACGGTAAACACGATGTAATTTTGGTAGAAATGGCTGGACGTATAGATTTGACTAAATCGGATACGCTTTTTAAGAGTTATCGTGCTTATCATGGTATAATTACAGAAGGTAGAACAAAGTTAACCCCTAAATAATTTTTTTTTCTTTGAGCACCCCCTATTCTGTCAAAACACATACACAGTTTGTATATGTGTGTGTATTGTTTTGAATAAAAAGAAAAATAATTTGAAATTAGTTCAAATTTAGGGACAATATAAATTCATATTTTTCACCTTAACGAGTAAAAAATGTCTAGTTTTGAGATAAAACAATCTTGTCCTACTATCTTGGATTCAATTTTGTTGAGAGATACCAATATTCCAATCAAGTTTTGTAGGTTTCCGCATTATAGAACAGAGTTTGGCTTGCTTGTTTGGGATACCATAGTATTTTGTTGTTGCAAAATCGTCAGGCGAAATCCCATTATTGTTGTTTTTATAAAAACAACGTTTGTTTATGAGTGGAGAACGATGGTAATGTTTACCAGGGGGTAAGGCAGGGAATACCTAGGTTTCGGAAAGAGCCACCAATCCTCATCAGTTCCCTTGTTTCTTGTCTGGGATATTCTCCCCAGAAGTTATTTAAAAAAATAACTTCTATGACAAAAAACATTTTTTACCCAAGTGACAAGATCGTAAGCTCAATAGAAGAGGAACAAAAGAATTACATAAAACTAAAATTCTTTTGGAAAATCTTCTAAATCTTACAACCGCACTTATAAACATTTACATCTTTCTCCACTTTGTTATGCTTTCGTTCAACCTGAACGAAGTAACATAACCATGTAAGTTTGTTTTGTCTGTTACAACAAAAACCCCTTCGTCGACCGTGCCTGTGTCTATTAATAGAACAGAGTTTGGCTTGCTTGTTTGGGATACCATAGTATTTTGTTGTTGCAAAATCGTCAGGCGAAATCCCATTATTGTTGTTTTTATAAAAACAACGTTTGTTTATGAGTGGAGAACGATGGTAATGTTTACCAGGGGGTAAGGCAGGGAATACCTAGGTTTCGGAAAGAGCCACCAATCCTCATCAGTTCCCTTGTTTCTTGTCTGGGATATTCTCCCCAGAAGTTATTTAAAAAAATAACTTCTATGACAAAAAACATTTTTTACCCAAGTGACGAGATCGTAAGCTCAATAGAAGAGGAACAAAAGAATTACATAAAACTAAAATTCTTTTGGAAAATCTTCTAAATCTTACAACCGCACTTATAAACATTTACATCTTTCTCCACTTTGTTATGCTTTCGTTCAACCTGAACGAAGTAACATAACCATGTAAGTTTGTTTTGTCTGTTACAACAAAAACCCCTTCGTCGACCGTGCCTGTGTCTATTAATAGAACAGAGTTTGGCTTGCTTGTTTGGGATACCATAGTATTTTGTTGTTGCAAAATCGTCAGGCGAAATCCCATTATTGTTGTTTTTATAAAAACAACGTTTGTTTATGAGTGGAGAACGATGGTAATGTTTACCAGGGGGTAAGGCAGGGAATACCTAGGTTTCGGAAAGAGCCACCAATCCTCATCAGTTCCCTTGTTTCTTGTCTGGGATATTCTCCCCAGAAGTTATTTAAAAAAATAACTTCTATGACAAAAAACATTTTTTACCCAAGTGACGAGATCGTAAGCTCAATAGAAGAGGAACAAAAGAATTACATAAAACTAAAATTCTTTTGGAAAATCTT